CATCTAAGTCTTTTTATTTTGTCTGTGTTTATTTGCACTTCAGTATCAGTGTGTTGCAGGTGTCCTAACACTGAATGGTGATTTATTAACCAGATAGAAACCATCTGTAAATGTAAGCTTTGTGCAAAATGAGACATCTCTTCTTTCTGTTTTCCTTCTCCTACTGAGAGGGGTCTGCTCTAGGCAGCTGGCATAGCTGCTGGGGAAGAAGCAGGGTTTCTTTTCTGTATGAAACTGAGCTTAGAGGAGGACTTCATTTTTCTTGTCTCTTCAGTAACTTAATCCTTTGTGGTTTTACTGTTTCTGAAATAATAAAGTCAGTCTGGAGTCAAAGGAAAGCCCTTCTCAATTCTCAGGAAAACACAAGGATGAAGTAACCTTGTTCTTTCCCAAACTAGTGAGCAAACATTTTCTGCTGGTGACTTTCCCTGGCTGGGAAAGCAGAAGCATTTCCCACAGATAAAACTCTATTCTGGAAATGACAAGGAAGGTGAGAGCTCTGCCCAGAGTGCATAATCCAGATCTGGGAAGATCTTAGCTAAAAGCCAAGATAATTGGCCAAGAGAAGACAGCCCAGGAGACAAAACATTGGTTTTCTGTGTGCAATTTGCCAAAGCTAAATTAATTCTCATGTTCCAGTGGGAATCTGCCCTTTCTTAACCATGATTTCATTACAAAACCTGTGAAAATTATGGGAGCCTCCAAACTGGCACTGTGTGTGCAAAACAATGCTACTGCTCAGGAGCAGAAATGTACTCCAGTGTCCCAGCTGTAATGGGGAGGAGACTTTTGTGGGGTCTTTCCTTCCTTATCTTGCTTGGAAAAGGAAAACATGTGCCTTCACTAAGGTGGAGAATCAAGTGAATGGGCTAAGGCTGTGCCCTGCAGAGAGGTTTTGTGGGTTGTTTTTTTTTTTTGCCAAATTCTTTCTGCTGTATTTTTAGAATATTTTAGACAAGGAATAACAGGAATGATTTATACCACAAATTGTTTCATAGTTTTTTCTTTTCAAATCTGTTGCCTCATGGTCTGAAAATCTTAAGAAATATATACAGGAAGATCTGTGAGGAGCAGTATAATTCCTCCAAGGGCCTTGTCAACCTTAGGGGCAATACATTTATTATCATTTAAGCCTGACATACAGATCTCATTGTGAGACCTGCTCCTCACATGAGTGCTTGTCATGCTCCTGATTGTGTATGTTGACTTTCACAGGACTGTTTTTCTGTCTTAATTTTGCAGAGCTGATCTTTAATGGGTTTCAATCTCTCCTTATTACAGGACAGATTTTCTCTTAGTGGGGAAAACCTGGTGAAATACAGAAGGATGTGAGGGCAGAATCTAGACCAGCTCATATTGAGAGCAAGGAAAGTTATTTTTCTCTTTAAACAACCAAGCCAATATAGGAGGGAGTTTGGTTTTTAATTCTCAGTATATTTGACCTTCAAAAGGACAGAAAACAATGCAATTCAGAGGTGTGCTGCCTACAAGCTCAGCTCCTGGTTGTGTCTGTACAGCTGAGAAAAGTGAAAACAATGAAACAGACACTTTTGAGTTCCCAGTGAGAAAAAAGGAAACTGGCAGCCTTTTCTTGCTTTATTGTTAAATATCTCTATTTAAATGCAAATCATCATCTGACACTGCCAAACAAAGTCATGTACCAGGCAGCAGGCATGCAAGTTAAAAAAATTTTTAAAATGATGTTTTGAAGATGCTGAATTGCTTTTATTTCCAGGAGGAATAGAGGTGGCTGAATAAATTTTTGGCTGCATACCGAGGACCAGCTCCACACCTAGGCACTTCAGATATGAAGATTTGTGTTTTAAGTGCAGCTTTTACAGAGGTGTGGGCAGACTCTCTCGTTAGGGATCACTTGGAGGTATCACTTGGAAGTTCCTTCTGTGTTATTCCACAGCAGGTATTACAGTGGAAAGCCCAGTGTTTACAGTATGTTTTGGAAGGGGGTGGAATCCAGGGACAAAAAGGGGAAGGAGCAGCCAAATTGCTGCCTTGCTGTGCCCCGGAAATGTGCTTTCTGGTGCTGGGTGCAGGACCTCCAGCTTCCTCCCTGAGCTCCAGAGCTCTGAGCCTGGAGAGGGACGAGACTGGACCTGGAGGAAGGGTTGGGGTAGAGGAGAGTCTTGCACGAGGAGCCCACGTTGTGGGTGGGTTGTGGCTCCTGAGCTGCCCCAGCAGGGATGCTCCAGCTCAGGGGAGGGGAGGTTCTCTGAGCGTGCATCCATCCTGCTGAGCAGGAGTAGCTAGTTAGTAAAACCCACCTCCAGAGGAGCATTTCTATTCAGTTCAGCAAGTCCCAAAATCAGCTAACGACCTGTATCTTATCAAGCCTCGTTTGCTAAAATTCTTCCTTTAATTTGCTGTTTACCTCACCATTTTAAAATTTCATTCTTATAAATCAGTGTGGGTATATTTGCTTTCTGTGCAGGGTTCCACTAGTCTCTTAATAATCATAATAATCGTTATTACTGATTAAAGTTGCATTATTCATGCCAGATGGAGTGCCCTCCCTGTCAGCCAGAATGAGTTTGCATTCATGTAGTTATAGTACATTTGTGATCTAAATAAACAGATGGTAGACAGTGACAGAGAATTATGTGCTGGTGATATCAGCAACAATGTTTCCCAAGTATAATTGCTTTAAATGAGCATGCATGCAACAAGGAGCTGGTAGTTTTAACAAGGTAGTTGGCATTCGGTGTGGTAATTACCAGGCAGCATCATCAATAGCACCAGGAATGCCAAGGGAGGAATGCTGGCTTTGAAAAATTAGTGACAGACTTCACAGGACCATCAGGGTGGGTTGGCTGAGCTCTGTAACATCTCACAGGTGTGAGCACGCTGCTAGCAGAGGAGCAGTGTTTGGTTTTGGGGTGATCCAGCCTCAGCTGAGAGACATTTTGCGCTTCCTCCAAGGCCGTCTCCCATCAGGGCATGTGGCAAGTATTTGATTTAGTGTAATGGAGCAGTGTTAGCAGCAGCAGCAGCTGTTAATACACGATTGAAAGGATTGAACCTGGATCCGGTTCAAAGGGGAAATTCACTTAACAGAATCTCAGCAGTACTCAGCGATGTATAAAAGTTTAATCAAACACAAGGCTGGGTTCCTGCGATCAAAAGCGCAGCGATGAGGACTGTGCAGTCTTCCACAAGATTTACATTGGGTGTCTCAGCTCATCCCATCAGCTCTGGCTGTGTGTCTCTCAGGCACTGCTGCTCCTGGGAATGTGCCTGCACTTTGGCCATGTCCAGATGGCTGTGGGAATCCAGGGCTTCCCTCTGGCTGCCCTGGAAGGCCTGGGACCCTGGCAGGGGGTCAGGAACCCCCCTGGACAGAGCCCCCAGAGACACTGTCTCTGATCTCTGTCCATAGAAAAGAGTTTTCAATCTTACAGGATGAATTACAAGCTCTGAGTGTTTGATATGAGTAATAATTAAGTATGGCACGGGTGCAAAAGTCAAATTTTAGGTTTCTAGATTAGGGGTTCAAAGGGGACAAGATGGAGGAAATTGGGTGTGCCTTGTCCTTTTTCTCCTTCTTCATGCCCTCCATGTTTCACTGTAGTGTTGGCATTTTTCTGTTGGTTTAGGCTGGGGACATACTGTTCAACGTAGATGACAGATATTGGCACATTATTGTAAATATAGCACAGGTAGTTTCTGGTATATAATGTTTGTAACATCCCACTGAGGGCAGAGCCCCACACGCTGCCCTGCAGGACAGAGCTGCGGCAGGGCAGCAGAACATGTTAGAGATAAACAGAATAAACAACCTTGAAAACAGCACTGACAAATGATGACTTTTTCTTTGGCAATGGGGCAGAAAGACAGAGACTTTCTGTCTTTCAATACCAGATTCCGACAGATGGCAGCTATGGGTTGGGGTCTGCCTTGCCTCACAGCCCAGACTGGTGTGGGACTGTCCAAGTGCTCTCTCCTCGGGTGCTGAAGTGCAGCCAGAGGAGAACATTCCAGCTCTTCTTCTTGCTTGCCAGTCCCTCTCACATGGGTCAGTGTCTTACCATGACATGGACATGTGAACTGAACTCCCACCTCAATCCAAGTGGATTTCAATCACTAATTACTAGGTAGTTTATAAAAACCTACCATTGCTAATGCTTCAGAGACTAAACCTATCAGTGTAGGCACTCAGTTTGTGGGGATTGGGATGGGGCCGGGCCGTGGCACACGGCGTGTGGGGATTGGGATGGGGCTGCAGCCCAGCCTCATCCCCAGTGGGCACAGCTGTGAGAAGCAGGTGAGCAGCACTGACAGCAATGAGCCATGGAGTGCCCAGGGGCACTGAGCAACCACCAAAGGGCACAGAGGGCACACAGGGGCACTGCAGCAACATGAGGGGATAAAAGGTTGGGCTGAAGGACAAGAAGGGCAGATGCTGCAGCCTTCTGAAGTGCCCTGATGTTGCTCTGTATGCGCAGGTGCCTGAAGCTCTCTGATGTGGTGAGGTGTTACTGTGTGTGGGTTGAAGCTTTCTGAAATTGTGTGGTGATACTCTGTGTATTGTGGTTGTCTTGACTATGACATGTGCTGTGAGAATTGTTCAGATGAAATTGTAGAGGTACCTGTATAGCCTTCTGAGCATAGCCATCAATTCTGTGAAGGAATCAGCAGGTCTTACATAGGCTGTAGAAACCAATAGTGATAGCACTGAGTGATGATATTGTTCCTCAGCCCTCCAGACTTGCTCGTACTTCTTTTTGTTTTAAAACATCCTGGTCATTATGCATAGCAAAAAAGTATTTAGGGTATAAAGCATTTAGATAAGTACTTGTATTTCATTTAAGTTTGACATCAGGTCTGGTTATTTAGTTGGGCTTTTTTTTATAGGCACTGTTTCAACCTTGCTAAAGTAGGAAAACCTTCCAAAGACAAGATGGACTCTCATCTTTTGTGGCTGCTGGGTGTTAAAGGAATGAAAGGAAGGCACATTTACAATCTCTGTCTTTCTGTCTGTCCTGCAGGTGGTCGTTGCCACAAGTCCTGCACAGGACGGTGCTGGGGACCAACAGAGAATCACTGCCAGACCTGTAAGTGTGTGAGAGTAAGAAACAAAGGACTGGAAAACAATGTAGCAGAGATCCTACTTGTTTTGTTGGTTTTTTTTTTTTTTCTTTCAGTTGTGAAGGGATAATATAAATTCTGGGTTCAGTGTGTATAACTCTAAAATATACAAGGGCTTTTTTTTTTTCCCCACATGTTTTTATCAATAGCTGATTTGCTTTTATTTTTTCCCACCCATGTGAATGATATTTTTCTTTCCTCCCTTGTGCTTTCTAAAACTCCTTATGGTAACTTGAATTTTCTTTTCACTCATGTGGCAGTATGGAGCATGGCTCTGGAGAATATTGATGGTATATTTGGAGAGCTTTAATGACCACCTGATGCTGCAAAGTTTCTCATGCCAAAATACTCTGTTAATTTCGATGGTAGCCTGGGAATATTAGTTATCTTGCACAAGTGTTTTCTTTATAATAATTTCAGACTATATTTGAGTTGTACTGAAAGAGAGAATAATAAGTTTTTGTGAAGAAAGTAGTAAGTGGTCACTCATAATGTTTTTCTGTCCTTGTGAATTTAGAGAGCATGAAAATTAGTTTCTTCCTTCTTGAAGGAGCTTTAAGCTCCTTCACACAGACACAAAAGAGCCAGAAGTACAGTCACAATATTAGCAGATAATAATAAAAGAGGAGAAAATTGAGGGCTGTTTTTCCTACATGTTTTTTTTCTTTTTCCTGCTTCCAAGAGGGTGAAAACCAGTTGCCTTTACTGGAATCACTCTTCCTGGGAAATGAAGTGGTCAGCCCAGGGTCACCTGCCTCTTTCCTGGGACTTGGTAGGAACAGTGCAGAGATGCTGCTTTTTGCTAGGGTTTTTGAGGGGGCTTTTTGAGGTTTTTGTGGGGTTTTGTTGGTTTGTTGGTTTTTTGGGGTTTTTGTTTTGTTTTGTTTTTTGGATTGGGTTTTTTTTCTTTACTACTTGGAGTGAGAGATAGGATGGATTTAGAACTGGCAGACAGCCTGAGGTGAATGTTTCATGAGTCTGAGCAGGAAATCCAAGGGACGTCTCCTTCCTTTGCTGGCAGTCTTTATGAAGGCACTGAGGAAGTCAGTGCTCCTTACCAGGAAAAGAAGTAAATTCTGAGTAGTGTGCTTAAGCAGATAAAGGAAAGGGACTTAAATCCTAGCTGACCAAATTATTTTATATCATGATTAGAGTTAATTAATGTTGTTTTTTTTTTTTCCCTCTGGCCTAATGAGAAGCCTTTTTGTTTAGTAAAACTAGTAAGTTTGTAAGAAGGTATCAAAGCCTCTTACCCATCAAACAAGTAGGTTTATTCAGGCCTTATGCGGTTATCTTATCCAAGAATAGTTTAAAATCCTGGCAGTTATGTCCTGTAAGGAACCTAAGATGCTGGTTCAGGCTGTGTCTCCAGCCTCATGGACTTTGCAGGTGCACAGCTGGACTTGCCATGTGGCAGGATCAGCTCCCATGGTCTCAGCCTCTACAAAACACTGCTCTCAGATCAGGGAACTGATGTGGTGGATTAATGGAGAATTACCAGGGAGAGAAGGGCTTATCTGCAGGGCTGTGAAGGCAGGAGCTCAGCAGGGCTGCACGGAAGGCTGGCTCCAGGAGTGACAGCTCTGTCCTCCCACAGGGGCTGCCCTTGCAAATCCAAACAGTGGGGACAGGCTAAGGCACAAGCATGGGGCAAAATAATAAACTAGAACAGCCATAACCCATCCAAGTGTCAGAGAGATACACGGATCTCACTCTTCTACTTGAGTAGCTGCTCCACATCCTCTTACCTTCAAGCCGACTGTGATGGTCAGGGACAGGAATTAGTTTTACATCACAGATTTCTTCTTTGCCTCCACGACCTCGCTGCACCTTGGACAAGCAGCAGGGTTGAAGGAAAAAGCCGGGTGTTGAAGGAAAAGGGTGTTTCTCGTTGGATTTTTGCACAATGTGTTTCCTTCAAACTGAGCGAAGCCAAGAGGGAGAATTTGTGTAGGGACTCAAAACATAAAAATGCAAGTGGGACTACGCTTTTGCTGCCTTCATGTATGATTTTAAAAGACGCGCCTGGCGTTTGGGCTCACAAATGTTGTTAGATACGAGCTGTGTTGTGCGCATTGTGTCTGCCTTGACCCCATCACCTGGAATGAGCATCTTTCCAACACATGTAGGAAAATACTCCAGCAGTGCTACATCCATTTTTTTTTATTTTGATTCTAGAAACAACTCAGAGCTTCATTTTGATAATTTTTTTTTTTTTTGTGGATTGAAGCAAAATATTTTAATGAGCCCCCCTCCCAAGATAAGATTTAAATTATTTTCCTGGGAAAGGATAAAAAATGAAAGATCTTAATCCGTGTCTTTCATTTCAAATTACATATGGAAAAAAACCAAATCCCTTTGTTTTTTTCATGAATATCATCTACCTAGCTGCTTCTTATGTTGCCTTCCAGCAATGTCTTTGTTGCGAACTCTGTCTGAAACACCACCTGCATCTAACTCTGTTCTAATGTCTCTCTAAATGTGACAAGAAAATTCATGTATTTAAGAAGACAATCAGAAATGTAAACCAAGCTGTTCTGTTAGGAGATGGAGAAGATAAAATTCCAGGGTACTCTTTTACACAGTTAGCAATCCTTTTTATTTTTATAATGAAAATATTAGTAGATGTTAATAGGAAGAAATTGAAATTGAGATGATATAACTTGTTTCAGTGTCAGGAAAGGCTAATATGAAAATGTTTTTAAAAAGACACTTTTTCAAATTGTATTGGACACACACTGAATAGAATGTAACCACTTGAAATAAAATAATAGTAACAAATGTCTTTGGAAGTCACTAATAAAATTTAAAAATCTATGGTTAAGTCATTAAATTTTTGCTGTTCATATCTGTTAGGATTTTCATGCAGAAATGAAAACTTTTGCTATTCAATACATTATTAAAGTGACAGATTATGCACTTTTTCCCAGAGGAATGTAACTGAAAAGACAACAATCTAAATTAGAATATAGATTCTATTAAGGAAATGCAAAAAAGGCAAATATAACGCATAAATCAAACCTGAAACACAAAACATTTAGCAAATGACAAATGCTCCTTGACTCTGTGTGTGTACAGGAGTGTGGTCAGGGCACAACTGTATTTACACTGTCCTTGTGCAGCTGGTGTTGCTGAGAAGGTGCCAAATTAGAGCAGCAAAAGGCAAGCAGGAGCCTGGTGGGGCACACAGAAAGAGCTGAACCAGCAGCTGGGATCAATCAGGGAAACCCACATTTCTGCTTGGAGCCAGCATCTTTAATTAAAACCCTTGTACTGTTCTAATAACTTTGCATGTTGGGAACACTTTCATTGATTTCAGTTACTTCCCATTTTTTCCTTCATGGATTGATAGTGTCCTGACACAATTAAAGATGAAGGGAAAACATAAAGGAGACTGATAATTTGCACATGTACATGAAGTGGTCATTTCATCACAGTTTATTGCTATGAAATACTGGTAGAAGTTGATGGTCTCACCCAGAAACCCATCTCAATGCAAAGCACACACCCCAGGACTTTGGGGTTTGTCCTTTGGGGTCCTGGCCCTGACTCTGATAGTTCTGTATAGTTGAACCCTCCAAATTCTTGGGCTCACACACAGGATCTGTAGCAATCCAGGCAGTGGTTGTGTTGACCCTCAAAAGGTCTGCTTTGAAGCTTGGGGTCTCAGCTGGGATTAGAGAGGCTCTCCTCACAGTTGTGTTGGGTGGAGGTATGAGTACCTGAAATGCCATATAGTTTGACATTTTGGGCAATATTTATAATTCACTCTTTCAGCTAGGTCTTGAGTTACAGTTATAAAAGCAATTGATTGTGTTTGGGGGAAAAAAGCTTGTTATCTTTTCAAACCAGTGCAGCTAGGTGTATTTTCTGTGCGGTTACCCCTGAGAAGGATTGCAGGAAGCTGAACTGGTGATGTTTTCTGACATCTGAGCAATCAGATTGTTTCAGGCCTTCAGACAATACACAGCATTGCCTTGTGGGAAAGGCAATTCTTTTCTGGGGAAAAACCTTCCTTTTAATAAAGTGCCTTAAATATGAGTCATTAAGATCCAGAGCCTGCTAAGCTCATTAATGTCTCGGTGTATTGGTGCCACTAAAGACACCTGACAGGTTCTCCATAGACCTGGGCTTTCAGCAGCAGCTATAATGTAAATATGGCATACAGTGAAGCATGTGATATGTCCTGGCCTCTTCCTAGAACAACACGTTGGCATTGTTAGTTTTCCCTGAAAAATAAACAACTGGGGAAGAACAGCAACAAACCTTTGCTGTAATTATTAATTTTGCTTCAGGAAAACCCACAGTGTTCTCTATCCTGAGCAGTGTGGTAGAGACCGTCCTCAAGCTGGTGTCCAACCAGAAGCAAAATATGCTTTTTGATGGCATCCAGTTCAAGTACTGTGCTGAAGAGAGGACCGTGTTCCTCCAGATCAGCCCTGGTGGGGATGGCCCATGCCAAGATCAACCCCAAAACCTTGGAATTATCAACACCATGCTCCAGCCATCTGAGCTGCTCCTCCACCAGGAGCCAGTGGCTCTGTGGACATCATGGCCCACACCCACCAGCAGCTGGTTCTGGGGTAAATAAATCAGAGGGGAATTAGGTGGTTCACACTGATTACCCACACAGAAGGGCTTTGCACCAAAACTTCCTGGGGTTTAAGCCAAATGTCCGAGAGCTGTGGGGCAGCAGCGAGGAGTGCGTTTTACTCCGTGCATGGCCTCGAGGCACAGCCACAAGGCAGAGCTGGCTGTGGCCATGACAAAACACGAGGTGCCGTGGGGAAGGGGAGGCAGAACCTTCGGGTGGTGCCCCTTGGCTCCAGGACCAGCTCCCATGTGGCTCAGGTGAACACAGAGCCTTTGGGTTGTAGGGTGAACTGAGACACAAACACAGAGGGTTTGGGTTGTAGGGTGAACTGAGACACAAACACAGAGGGTTTGGGTTGTAGGGTGAACTGAGACACAAACACAGAGGGTTTGGGTTGTAGGGTGAACTGAGACAAACACAGATGGTTTGGGTTGTAGGGGAAACTGAGAGATGAACACAGAGGGTTTGGGTTGTAGGGTGAACTGGATGGCCTCTGTGCCCTCCAGTGGGAATTGTGCCTCTCTGTCAGACTGTGCCCAGTCCAGTGCAAATCCTGAGCTGCTGGAAAACAAGACACTCCCAGACTAGGGAAGGTTTTTGTTCATTTTCATGGGCCAAGACTGTCACCACAGTGTGCTGGTGGCACATAGCCACAGGTGCCATTGTTTCACATCTGTCTTCATGCTTATCAATACTGTCACTTAAATAAACAAATCTTTTTAATGTTCTTTTCAGGCAATGGTGACAGTAAAGGCCTTCACCAAATTTCCCAAATTTCTCAAGTTAGATTGCACAAGCCACAAAAGCCTTTTCTTTCTCTCTGGGGTTTTTCCTCTGGTATCAGCAAGATGAAAATGCTCTAAATGTGCATTGTTTTATTCCGTAGATTAAAAACAATCACTTCTCTTTAGTTATTTACATTTTTATGTCCTAAATAAATACTGTATGTAGCAAGAACATTCAGCATTACTGTAAGTATTTCTGGCAAGTAGTGAAGGGATTTTGGATCAGAATGCACTTATAAAGGTGCTACCTATACATTAAAATAGTAGAATCAAGCAGAAAGTTGGATGGAATTTTGCTTTCTCTCACTTCCTGAAAAGTATTTTTCATAAAGAAGTAATTAAATGCTTTTAAAAAATAGAAGTCAAAGGTTAATTGCAGAAGTGCATCATCCCAGCTTTTATCAAAAGACAGATGACAGCACGGTGGGCAGTGGTGACTGGTATAGTTTGGATAATACTAATTTATTTTTCCATAAAATAAAGATAAAGGTTACAGCTGAGGGAGGGAGGGGAGGTGCATGGGCCACTGGGTGACCATTCTTTGCACAAGGTTAAGCCCCCAGAGGTGTGGAACAACAACTCAGCTGGTAGGTCTCGTTGCTTCATTCTGTGAATGAAGGCAGGTTTCTGTAATTTAGAAATAGCAAGTGGTGTTTCCAAACATTTTCTAAGGTGCCAAATGGATTTCCATCAAGGGCAGCATTTGGCTGTGGCAGTGATGGTCTCACTCTGAATTTCACTCATTTACTCTGTGTTGCTGTTCTTGGTGGGGAAAACTCACATGCAACTGGTGGGCTCTTCTGTTATTTTCAGGGGAGAGGGGAAGAGGGTGTCATATCCTCTTTAAAAAACCTAAGAACTTGAAAGTAACATTCCCCATTAATTTTCAAGGGTCAGAAAGCACGATAAAAATTCTTTCTCCACAGTCCTTTAGCAACATGTGTGCTCCTAAAGAGGGGATCGTGCAGGCATTTTGGATACAGGTATTGTGCAGGTATTCTGTATGCAGGTGCCCTGCAGATATTCGGGATAAAAGTGTTGTGCAGGCATTGTGGATACAGGTGTCCTGCAGATGTTCAGGATACAAGTGCCTGGCAGGCATTCTGGATACAGATGTGCAGGCATTCTGGATGCAGGTGTCCTGCAGGCATTTTGGATACAGATGTGCAGGCATTCTGGATACAGAAGTGCAGGTGTTCTGGCTGCAAGTGTCCTGCAGGCGTTCTGGATACAGCTGTGCAGGTGTTCTGTAGGTGTTCTGGGTACAGCTGTGCAGGTGTCCTGCAGGTGTTCTGGACACAGCTGTGCAGGTGTCCTGCAGGCATTCTGGACACAGCTGTGCAGGTGTCCTGCAGGTGTTCTGGACACAGCTGTGCAGGTGTCCTGCAGGCATTCTGGACACAGCTGTGCAGGTGTCCTGCAGGTGTTCTGGACACAGCTGTGCAGGTGTCCTGCAGGCATTCTGGACACAGCTGTGCAGGTGTCCTGCAGGCATTCTGGACACAGCTGTGCAGGTGTCCTGCAGGCGTTCTGGATCCGAGCTCCAGCCCCGCTGAGGCCGTTCCCTGCCTGCCCGGGGCTTTCCCCAGCACTGTGCTGGGGGAGCAGCCGGGGAGCTCCGTGCCTGGCCCCACGTGTGACGCTGTCCCTTTCCTGCCCCTGCAGTGACCAAGACCGTGTGTGCAGAGCAGTGCGACGGACGCTGCTACGGGCCCTACGTCAGTGACTGCTGCCACCGCGAGTGCGCCGGGGGCTGCTCCGGACCCAAGGACACCGACTGCTTCGTACGTGCTCTTCTCCTTATCCTTCCTGCCACTCACTCTGCAGCTTCTTAATGCTTTCATCCATGAAATTCACTCTTTCGCCTCTTCTGATGTACCGCACGCACGCTCGCGGATTCAAGATGCGTTTAGGGTTTTTCGTGTTCTATTTATCTACTTAGTATTACTCATTAACAGATCTATGAGATTTGTAAATACAGATTGGGAGCCATTAATATGCTTATCTCTGTGATTTTTTATCTCTTTCTTTTCCAAAATTAGCTTTCAGAGGTGATAGCGGGTTTTTAAAAGTATTTGTCGCTATATTTGAATGTGGTTTTTATTAGTGCTCTGTGTGCTTTTCATATGAAAGTCAAGAATACAATTCAGATTCTCTGTGCAAGGCGTTCCCTGTTTCTGCCAGATTTAATTAAAATTCAGTTTTTTTAGTGGATGTGCTTCTTTGTGGAGATGGAAGGAAAGTTGTTCCCAAAACCCGCTCCCTCAAATGCAGGTTACTACATGTGTGCTTCAGATGGAAAGAAATGGCTTTTTCTTTAAAGAAATAGACAATCTAAATGTCTAGGCCTTTAGAAAATCTGTCATGTTTTTTAAGAGTTTTAGCAGCCTTAGAGCCCAAAAGTGATCTCAAAAAAAAAAGTGTAGCTCATCACACTGGGTCAGTGAGACAAGTTTTGCTAATGGTTTCAGGGGAAACAAACCTAGGTCTAAAAAAGCCTAGACCTAGAAACTGCACAGAGAGGTGAGCTTTCAAAGGCACCCACGTGTTTGAAGATACAAATACCTGTGAAGTTGACTGCCAGGTGGAGTTGGGAGGAAGGTGTGGAAAATTGCATATATTTTGAAACTGTGGGCAAGTGACTCATAATGAACTGGCAAAAATGCCTCTTTCCCTGGCTGGCCCTGGCTGCTTGATAGTGATAGCTTTTGTGCTTTAAAACCACTCTCTGAATGCTGTTCTTTGGCTGTTGATGAACAACAGGATTTGCTAAAGCTGTTCTCTGTGTCTTTTCACAAGTAGATGCTCAGCACCTATGGTGTGGGCAATCCAACAGACATATCATATGGAAGTTCTCTGTTGGCTTTGAACTAGAGGGACGGGAAAATGCCAGTCTTTCTTGTGTCATGGACAATATAAATAGGTAAAAGGAAGAGGAAAAATGCAGTCATTGTTCCCAAATGAGTGTTGAGGAACATCCTCGCAGCTGATGTGTTGACGTAACCATTTTCAAAGGTTAAGGGCCTTTACTGATAAAGAAAACTTTACAAAAGGAAGGCCTTGTAAAATAATGGCTCAGGCCTGTTAACTTCAGCTAAGTAGAAAAGGACTGTGGGAAAGAGACTCAGCTGAATTAGGGATAGAAAAACAAGTTCTATAATTACCTGTTCACATTGTGGTGTGTGGTGGTTGGTTTGATTTGTTATGATTTAAAACTATGTAACTGATAAAGGTCTAACTGCTTAAAAAGGCCTGGTTTTTGCAATAAGGGGCTTGCACCTGCCTGGGGACTCTGCATCCCTTTGGACCCTCACCCACAAAGGACAAATTTTTGGCAGCACAAGTTGGTACTGCTGCAGCCTTAAAGTTACACTTTCTGAATTGTGGCAGCTGTGGAAATACACATGCTAAAAATCAACTAGTATGTTTTTTTCTGGTACAGCAGAGAGGCGTCCAGGGTTTATTCTCATTCCCTTCTGGCCCCAGAGCAATGTAAAAGAAATTCAGCAGGGGTCTGGCAATTTTCAGGCCTAGTCATTACTTGCTTAGACACAGTGGGTGAAAAGTGTAACCCTTTAGGCTGTAGACAACTGTGCTTAGCTTTCAGCTGAGACACATAACTTTGCTTTTTCCCTGTGCATTTCCTGTGCTTTTATTCACAAATTAGCAGCATTTAGCACAAAGTGCTAGAAATTTCCATATATTATCAAAGCAATTACAAATGTATATAAAACATTTCAGTCATAAATTAAAAGTTTCCAGATCTTCTAGATGAATTTTTCCTGAGAATTGCCATGTCTCCAAGGAGTATTGGTGTGCTTTGCTTTATGCATTTGCTAAACTGTTATTAGAGAATTGTCATGTACATGATGGAGTACCTTTGAAGTCAACATGTAAGAAATGGGTTGAGGAAACAAACTAAATTAGTATTTATTAATAAGCAAAAGTACAGCTTATGAAGCATTACAAATCCTTTAGAGCATTATGGGATCTTGCAGCAGCATCCTGTTCTAAATACGGTTTTAATATCTGTAGATAAAATTCATCCATCCTCCTCCATCTGCTGCCATGCACTCATTTGCATATTCAGTTCCAAAAGCAAGACAGTAATGATCATCTGACATAAATGCCAGCAAACATGCTCAAGCAAAGTTTTACTGATGTTTTTATCTCGGATTCAAAGTGGGTCTAGAACTTGAAATGCATAGGAGGGCCTGGCTGACTCCCTAGTGGAACAAGAAAAGTGACACAACCCTTTTCCTTGAGTGGACTTGCAATCCAGTTCTGAGTAAAGTGTTTATCTCTGTAAGGGAGAAAAAAAAAAATCTGTTTCTATGAAAGAAACTGTCAGGTTTTATAATAGACATTTTACAGGACCAGGCAAGGCAGGATCAGCAGTTTGGCTTAGCACATGCTCTATGTAGGACAGTGCTTTTATCACAGATCTCCCTGCTTCTTCCTTTCAGCAGCAGATTTTGTCCTTGGATAGATTATTAGCCTCTCCTTTCTGAAATCTTCTGGCATGACAGGTCCCATGCTTCTGCTGGTCCTGCTCCAAATGGAGATAAAGACTGCTAGTAAAATCAGAAGAGGGGAATCTTTTCCTCTTTTCTCTCAGTCCAAGCCCAGGAGGCGAGGGGACAGGACACCTATTTTATTGTTATACTTGTTGACTCTTTCAAGACGCAGCACCATTTGTGTTTTAACAAAGAAAAATGGAAAAAGACCAGAAGGATTTACTCCTAGACTAACACTTGTAAAGCAGCCTGGATTACAGCTTAGTGAGGAGGCAATACCCAGTAACAGTGGCTGCTTAAAGTGCTAGAGGGATCCAAGCCAGGCTACAGGTTTCATATTCATACAGATTTTTCATTCATGGTATGCTCTGTGAAAATTACTCCAACAGTTTTCTTATGATCTGTAGTTAAAACCACAGACATGATGTATGCTGATAAGGAATGTCAAAATCGGTGGGGCTTTCTACTCCTAATTACCAACCTTGCATGGTCAATTGTTTTCCCTGCATCCCATTACTTTTGTTATCCTGTCCTCTGTCAGCTGTGCGAGGCAGAGCCTGAATGCTAAGTGGGACAAAGTCCTTTTTTCCTCCCTCAGCATGTGAAGCAACTGACCTTGTTAAACTGCCACTTAGGGAAATGGCCCCCTCCTGTGCTAGCTTAAAAGGAGTTCTTATCCCTCTTGCCTCCTAATTGGGAATTGCAGTTTTCAGCTGGATGATGTACTCATGCTGTAAGAAATACAAAGGGTTGGACCTCTGAAAAAGTCATTAGCATTTGCTTAGATGGTGATAAATAGCTGCTCACTCTTGGCAGTTTTAGAATGCCCTATCAAGTCGAGAATTGGTTGATTGTGAGTAGTTATGAAACAAATTACGGCGTTGTTTTGGTTTTGTAGGAAGTGTTGTAACAGGCAACTGTTGCTAATTAAAGGGGCTCACCAAACTGCCTAATTAAGAGTCACGTATTTGCCAAGATCCTAGCAAAAAATCCAAGTAGCCAGAATGAATGTTTGAGAGCTCTGTACCACATTCCTCACTGCCACAGCAAGTCTGAACAATCAAGGCCATCTTTTCACACCAAAAAAACCCACAAAACCCTAAAGCAGCTGTATGATTAATTCCATATTATTCTTACTCCCTTGTTTTGCAGGCCTGCATGAATTTCAATGACAGTGGTGCCTGTGTCACACAGTGCCCCCAGACCTTTGTGTACAACCCCACCACCTTCCAGCTGGAGCACAATCACAACGCCAAGTACACCTACGGGGCTTTCTGCGTCAAGAAGTGCCCGCGTGAGTGCTCTGCTGCCTGTCCTGATATCTGCCTCCTCCTGCAGCCATGGGGAGCTGCACTGCATCTCAGCAGCCTTAAAAACAGGGAGAGAGTGAGAGTGCAGGGCACAATCACTCACATGTGCTTGCAGCCTGTAATAACTCAGGTGATGGCTAAAGGCAGCGACATTCTGTGCTGCTGGCAGTTCCCAAGGATCCTATTGTGATTTTCCTAAAGAAAGGTGGTTTCTGTTTTCGTGGTCAACTGCTTGTTGCATTCATGCTTTAGATCAGTATTTGTAAATTCCAAAATTGTGGAAATAAGTAGTTAAAATAGCAGGATTGTAAAAGGGTATGAATTTTTGTTTCGGAAAAATAACAGTCCACTGCCCACACTTGGAACCAAATCCTTTCATGTCCCCAACTGGAGTAATGATGATATGACAAAAAGTTACCCTGAGCAGTTCTGTCCCAATGAGGAATAAAGTTGTAATACTGATAGGAATGCAGTCTTAAAACTCCAGAGTAAAATTAGAGGGGAAGGGGGAGTTAAAAAAAGAAGAATCCCATGCATGTAAAACGCACATGCTTCTGAGATACCAGCCAGATGATGACAAGAAACTGAAAAAATTACAGGGTCATCACTTGCATAGTCTTTGAATCTGCTGGTTTAATTGAAAAGAGTAATAAAGGAGATAGTGTTCTTGCTCTCCCTTTCATTCCATGAAGGTTTGCAGTTGTATATTAATTACTTTATCCATAAATTACACGTAAGAAGGATGGGTGATCTATATTAAGTGGAGCCATAATTCAACCCAACCCAAAATCCCAATTTTGAATCTCTGTGAAGGACTGACAGCAGCCAGGGGCTGTGACTCCCAGGGCATAGTTCTGCCTGTAATAGTGGTGGGTTTGTTGAAGCAACATTGGTTTGTTAAGAACCTCCTATCATGCACTACAAGAGATGTAATTATTTGCCCAAATACTTCATTGAACACTTAACTTTTTTTTTTCCTTTCTTATCAGTATTAAGCATTTAGTAAAGTAGGGACCGTCTATATTACCTTTGGCTGTTGTTTTACAGGGAAAAAAATTGAAATAATTGTCATTGTCCTGTGCACTGTTTTATCCCAGATGTATATTGTGTGCATTAAAAAGACAGGCCAGACCATCTTGCTTTATTTCTTTCCAATTAATCTAACTTTTTTTATCCCCCCTGCAAGTAATAATAAAGCCAAAAGGGGAAGAAAGAGGGATCAGGCCTGACAACTCATGGATTTTTATGAGTCGCTGATAATGTGCCTAATTTGCTTATACACTTCTGAAAACACAGAACTTTGAATGTTAATGTCACTGGGAAGATGCTAAGGTAACCATAGGTATTGACACAGAGTTCAAAAACACGTTCCAACTTATATTAATTTGCTGCCAACATCTCCTTTTTCTTTTCAGACAACTTTGTGGTAGATTCCAGCTCTTGTGTCCGGGCATGTCCGAGCTCCAAGATGGAGGTTGAAGAAAATGGAATTAAGATGTGCAAGCCCTGCACTGACATTTGTCCTAAAGGTAGGCAGTGGTTCAGTATAAATCTGCTTGAAAGTAGTCTACACAGGGTGTTATTTTGGCATGAATTTTCCCTTCATGAGTGTGTTGTAGAATATGAATAGCCTTTGAACACCCACAAAAGTTTGAGCTATGTAGGTTGTGTGTCAAGCACATACAATAGAGTGAAAATTTATTAAGTTGTAATGGCAATATAACCAAACCAATTACTTTTTATTAGATACAAATGAAGGGGATCTGTCTGTTGGTTTTAGAAAAATCTGAAAGATTTCTTTGTTGTGTTATCTTAATGGCAAGTATTTCCTGGAGGTGTTTGAGCATTGTCCTTTTGTCATTCCAAAGGGGGCCCTACAAAAATCCCTGACTTCAATGTCTGGGATGTCTCACATTTGTTAATACAACATCAGTTTCCATTTCCGTGCTCTGTCTTTGCTTTCCCAGAATCTTCTCCCTCCTTTCTCAGTATCTCAAACACAGACCAGTGATGGTTCTGTTGAGGAGACTAAAATCTGTAGGTTACTTTGCTTTTCTAGACTCCAGCAAGGAGACTTTCTGCTCCCTGCTTGAAGCTCTGTGGTGCAAAGCATCATAGATTTTCCTACATGGGCCTATGCCACTTCTTAGTCCTAATGGAAGCCACATCTGGCTTAACTGTGAAAAATAATTTTTGTTGTTGTTGAATAGTTTTATGCATGAAAACACAGGTATGGAATTCCTTAATTTCTCAGGAGGAAAGCTATCACATGTTTGTAAAAGCTTCTGCTGGTAGTTGTCATTAGAGGAGCCCAGTCAGACAGAATGCATTATGTGGTTAAAGTCATGAGGGATTTGTTCCTGGATGCATCCTGTGTCCCAGAAAATGCAGCTAAATTACACAGACAGGCTGCACAGAGATGTTTCCTCACTGGTTGCCTGTTTCTCCAGGTACCAAACTTGCTGATTGAGCTGATAAATAGAAAGTACTTATACAACCTTTTAAAGGGTCTTATGGCATGGATCCATGTCCACAAATCTACCAGAGAATGGGACCTCTGTGGTGCCTTGTATAGGCTTGCCTAGAACAGAGATGAGACAGAGTTAAAGAATAAAGCAGGGATTTGTTAAAAGGCCTCAATGGATCCACCTTGGGCAGCACAAGAGCCCAGCCAGGGTTACACCCAAAATGAACCAAAATGGTCACAAAATGGACAACTGGTCACGGGGTCTCTCACTTTTATAAGTTCTGCTCCATTTGCATATTGGAGTTAATTGTCCAATTCCAGCTTTATCTTATAAAGTCCCATCCTCCTTGTTTTTCTCCAGTTCATGTTCTTTATGCTCTTGGGCCTTGGAGATTTGGATTGGGTGTTCTTGCTTCCCAGCTAGAGAAGGAATTGTTTTGTCTCCCTACTCTGTGAGGAGAGCTCACCAACCCCTAAAATTTCAGAACTACACACTAAAGCATCACAGAATCTGAAAAATATCAAAGCTGTGTTAGCTTTTATATTTTAAAATATAGCAATGTTAGGGCCCCTCAGTTTCTGTAGTGTATACTGCACCAAGAAATGGCAAGGCTGAGCTGAGTGGGATTTTGTGTGGTTGATACTCACCCTTATATGCCATGTGAAATACCTTCACCTGTGTGCCAGGGTGCTGTGGCAGGTGCTGTAGCTCATGTTTGGTTTAAATGAAAGTGCTGCTTTGGGAATATGGGTCCAGGATGTTGCTTGAACACCTTTCTGCTGAATGAGATGAAGACTCGTGTCTGTAAGGCCAATGTCTTCTGATCCAGGAATTGTTTTCCAGTTCTTTACACAAGCTCCTTGTTTTGGCAGCATGTGATGGCATTGGGACGGGCAGTTTGGTGTCGGCTCAGACAGTGGATTCCAGCAACATTGACAAGTTTGTAAACTGTACCAAGATCAATGGCAACCTTATCTTCCTTGTCACTGGGATTCATGGGTAAGTGACAAAATGTTATGGAGTGGTGCCAGCTGAAACCAGTTGCATCCATCTCTTAATCATGGCTGCAGGCTTCTTTTATGCAATAGCAGATCCAGGATAAATTAGTTTTCTGCCTTCCATTGTGAAGAAAACCATTGCCTTGATTCTTAAGATTCAACCTCTAGGAAAAGAAAGGGTGGATTAATTGTTTGCACTAAAAAGAGAAACGACAACCATGATTCTCTGGTTACTTTATGAGGTCCTCAATACTGACTTCCAATAAAGGCTGATCAGACAATAGAAGGGAGAAAAGGAAGTTACCTTCCATGAGTTTGTTTAAATTTTGTATGGCCAGAAGAACAATATGCAGAATATATTATGCAATAATAATATGCAGAGAGGCAGCCTCTCTTAGCATATCTTGTCACAGTCTGGGTGGCTGCCAGTACACACACATGCACAAAATCTGCCCTCCTGTCCATCAGTTTTGAAGAATCTATTCAAGTTTCAGTTGCAGAGGCACACAGAATTCACTGGTGTAAAAATCCAGTATTTTGGTTTAAATTTTACTCATTGTAATAGGTTCTGAAAAACCTCAGAGGGTCACATGGCTCTGCTCTGGCCAAATGACTACTAAAGAGGCTGGATGGAAACCTGTTAAATCTCACAGGACAGGAAAAAATCAAGTAAATGCAAGACAAGGAACTAGAGCCCATGTGCAATCTTGTATGGATTAATCCAGTGCATTACATGAAATTTAACTTTGAGTAGGAGAACTGCTTTTGCAGGAAAAATTATATTAGCTCATTTAATAATCTGTCAAATTAAAAGAACCAAACCCAACCTTGAATAAAATTGTACTTGTCTGAAAAATAGCTAAATTTGGACTATAAGCAGAAAGTAAAAATATTCTGTTCTATTTTACAGAAGAGTAGGACATGTAATGTTGAAACTGTGTAGCACTTTGTGCCTCATTCTTGATGAAGAACACTCACCTCAGCAAGCCTGAAGTATGAGGGCACTGAGTTCTGCAACACTAAATTTTTCTACAGCATGGATTACACTCGTAGAGGTTAAAAGAAGAGAAGATTTGAGAATGAAAGAAAATAGCTAGACTTCTGGAGCAGCTTTTTTCGTTGAAATTTCAATTACATTTTGCAAAGCAGCAATATGAAAGGGAAATTTAAAAAATTACACTGACTACACAAGTAGTTTGTTATATAAATGGACAGTATAGAGAAACAACAATCTTATTTCCTCTCCAAGTTTTACTTCACTTCTGTCATAAATTCATGTATTCACAGTGAACTGCAAATTTTAGAGTATGAATTTTTAGTGTTTTAGGGACTTAAAGTCTGGTTCTCTGGGGACTTGGAAGACTTTTGGTGGCGGCAGAAAATAATTTTCATGAAAGATGCACAATTTGTTGTTAGTTTCCATTGGAAACTGTGCTGCTGAAATTGATCCTGTCCTATTTTTTGATCCTGTGGTTCTGTAGCCTAGTTCTTTTCTGAACACATAAACTTCCAGTATTTGTGAATTTGTTATAATTTATGTAAATATACATATAATTATGAATGTTTTATGCATATCTATTTAAAGTCATTAAGATATACACTATTCTATAGTTTTATATGTTGATAAAACAGCAGGTGTTTTGCTCTTTAAGGGGTTTATATCTGCATCTTTAAAGCTATTTTATCTTCAGAATTTAGAGGTGAAATTCAGCTGCTTCATGTTTATTGCAGGCAAGGGTTTTTCCTTTTTTTGATGGTAATGCAATTTGAAAGCAAAGTGCTGTGTTTGTGTTAGGTAGTCAACACTTGTTATTTAGTTTTCTGAGAGCTCCACATTGTTAAAATGTTTTTGATGCCTCTGTGGCCCACTGGGCTTTTTTCTTAACGTTCTAGAACTCCTTTTCTTGCTGCTCAGGGTGGTTAGAGGTGACCCCATCAGTGTGTCACCTCACAGGTTTGTGAAAACACACTAGAAATACCGTAACATGCCATTGCAGAGGAATTTTGGTTTGCCTTAAGCTTCTGGTTGACTTTTTAAATAGGGGAGGAAAGTAACATATTTACTAAATGGTGGCACTCTCAAAATCGAGGTCAGCTTCATCTTTTTGTACTATGACATATCTAAGTTTAAAATTTTAATTCTTGGAGGTTATTTCATTTCTCATTGACAAACTAGCTTGACAAGGATCCATACTTTTAGAGGTTCCTTGTTCCACACCTTCTAAGAAGTGTGCCCTTTAAATGCCATGTGTCAGGAACCGTGGGCATGCTTTTAGCTTAATTTTGCTTAGAGCTTGTCACTTCTTTTAGGAGCAGATTTGTTATTCCTGGTATATATTCCTGGGAAAAAACACTGAAAAATTCATCTTTCCTTTTGGAAAGGGACTCATGGTTGTTTAGAAATCCTTAATTTTCCAGAGCATAAGTATTTGCTAAAACATGAATGGGTTGAGCCTTTACATTCCTTCAAGGTGAGGTGGGAGAAGTTTGACAGATCTGCAGGAACAACAGGCTGAAGCTTGGTGCATATCCTCCTAAGAGCAAAGTTTGGAGCACCTTAATGCTGTTTCCTGCATGGAATGGCTTTGAGAACCTGATCTTTTCTTATTTAGAGTGTCACATTGTGTGATTTGAATCTTTCAGAGACCCGTATCACACGATCGCTGCCATCAATCCAGAGAAATTAAATATCTTCCAAACAGTGAGAGAGATAACAGGTAACACACTTCTGATCTCCTATAATCTGTATTAATTAATGAATTCATTCTCACTTTGCACTTATAGTTGTCATGTGTTGGGTTTTCTGAAGAACACAAGGTACTTTGTTTCATTAAACTCATCATGCTGTCATTTTTATGAAAGCTTAATACAGAAAACTTCATTATCAGTTGATTTTCACAACTGTGTTGTCCTTTGAGCACAGGATGCCCATTATGGCAGATGCTAAGTGGACAAAGGATCTTGGTCCCATGTTAGCAAAGTAGGACAAGTGTTGCAAGGGAAATGTGAGGAAAATGGTGCTGAAATGTAGGAAACCATTTCCTTCACCTGAAGGCATTTGAAAGTTCTAGTCTGCTTTTACAGTTCATTCCCTTGGTGTAATAGAAGATGCTGCTGCAAGTTAACTTTTGTAATTTAAAGACAGATATATAATGTGGTGGTGAGTGGTGTGTCCTATTTTTTGTGACTTTTCAGTGGGGTCATAGAACTGGGTACTCAGTACTTTGTTTTCTTGTTTCACCATGTGGGGGACAAGGAGGGAGATACTACAGCTCTGAATTCTCATTTGGTTTCTTGATTATGTAGAGGTAGGGAAATGCAAAAAATGTTCTGTTTCATGCACAGAAAACCCCACCAAAATACCAAAACAAGCACCACAGCTTGTTTGTAGCTGTGTGGGCTCAGCATGCTACACCTCTGAAAAGTTGTGAATTTCAGCAAACCGATGGGATTAAAAATGAAAGTAAACTCTTAATCTCTTTCTAATTAGGGTTGGCACCTGGGTGAATGTTGTTTGTTATTCCTAAATACAGTAATTGACAGTCTCAGCCCTGCAGCTGAAGTGGAATTACCCCTGTTTGCAATTATGTGTACTGCATTTCAGCCCAGTGCTGGGGCAGAGTCCTGGGGAACTGCCCTCTCTGGAGGTTTGGGCAGCACAGCACAACTTGAGCAGAGAGTGAACAGCCCTCACCTTGGAAATCAGGACAAGTTTTCCTTCTCTTTTTTGGTGGAGATGGTGGTGAGCAGCCTGAGGGTCTGCAACTTTCCTTATTTATTGCTTTTCCTCAAGCTGGCACTGTCTTTCCTTTATAGGCTAAGCCTGTCCTAGCTCACACATGGCTGAAATAATTTGTATTCACGTGTTTGCCTTTTTTTTCCTCAGGGTATTTGAACATACAGTCATGGCCTGAGAATATGACAGACTTCAGGGTGTTTTCTAACTTGGTTACCATCGGTGGGAGAGCTCTCTATAGGTAAGGTACTTTACTGCTCTGTTGGTGGAATAATTTTTTATTAGTGTTCTGTGATTGTTCACTAGCAGAGAATGCAACATATAAATATTTTTTTCCTCCATTACCAAGGTGTTCATTATATGTGTATCTTTGCTAATCAGTTGTTTATAATGGGTAATACCTTCTCAACATAATTATTTAAAAAAACTAGTCTTGGTTCATGGCTGTAGGTATTTTATCATTGACTGGCACTTAACATTTATGGTTTAAAATACCTTGTGAAGAAACATAGTTTAAAAGGAATGAATAATAAAACTTAGCCTCATTATTAGGAGTTTATATGGTTGTGATTCGGCATGCAGGCTCATGTGCCCAAACAACAAAGTGATTTTAAGAACAGGTAAAAGGTGGAAGAACACTGAAATCACTGAGGCACCTTGCAGGTGAGGTGTTTGTGAGCCCTATAGTGCCATTTTTGCCAGACATGTTTCATATTTCTGTGTGGAAACTCGGATGGAGAAATTGGTTTGATGAGAAGAAAGCATGGTGAGAAATGCTGGGGGAAGTACAAGGAGGTACCTGAGCAACTATACAGCACACCCTGGATTCCCACTTTGGAGATGGAGTAAATCAGGCACGGGATTCTGCTGGCATCTTAAACAGCAACCTGAGCAGAATGTGAAAGCAGTGAAACCTTGAGGTTGAATTACAGCCCTAAACTCTTTTCCAAGGCAGCATTTTTTATTTGGAACAGCTGGAAAGCAATTATCATCATTAAAATACAATAACTTAAAGGATGCCCAGAAACTGATATTGTATTCACTAATCTTCAGGCATAAAATATGTGCAGTCATTTTCGTGTTGTGCAGACAATCATTTACTGTTCCTTTGATGAAGAAAGGTGATAACCACATCTTACAACCAAAGAAAAATGAAATGTAGAAAGTGGGCTGGGAAAAAAATCAATGAAAATAACAATTGCTTCCTGTATTACTTGAAATAACATTAATTTTATGCCTGACAGAAGATGTTTTAATATATTCTTCTTAGCATATAAACTATCATAGTATTAATAATATCATTATTATAATAAAGTATCATAGTATCAATGCTGTTGAAAGAAAAATCTGAATTTTATTCAGTTTTCCTAACAGCACATTATCTCAAAAAAAAACCTGTTAATGGATGAAATGAAACTGGTTGAGGAGTTCTGCTGACTTACTTGGCCTAGTGCTATGGGCATCACAGCTTCTGGTATCTCACTCCTGACAGGACTCATCATTTCCTAGCCAGTAGAACTGGATGTTGACTCACAAAATATTTGTGTTATCACAAAATAAAAGTTTTCTGACCAATTCTCAGTTTTTCTAGAAAGATCATCTGGACACTTGGAACTAATTCCAGTTGGCAACTCCCTAGCAGATAAAATAAGTTGTTCCTTATGAAGCTAATTCCTATTCTCTCTCACTTTTGTCCTCATCCCAGTGGCCTTTCCTTGCTCATCCTAAAGCAACAAGGCATCACCTCCCTGCAGTTCCAGTCCTTGAAGCAAATCAGTGCTGGCAACATCTACATCACAGACAACAGCAATTTGTGCTACTACCACACTGTCAACTGGAGCAGCCTGTTCAGCACCCCCAGCCAAAAGACAGTGATCCACAGGAACAAAAGGGCAGAGAACTGCAGTAAGTACCTGCTGCTCACTGCCACCAGCTCACCTGGGGGCTCACTTACAGCATCCAGGCATTTGGCCCAGTCTGAGCAGGAAAATGAATTTTTTAAAAATTTTTCTTGGACAAAGGAAAGGGAGCAGAGAGAGAGCTGCTGCATGATGGGAATGTTCCAGCTTCACAAATATGAAATCCAAAGGCTGTCAGTGGAGTGTTCATGGCTTTACAGCCCTTTCCTTATGGGGTGGGATTAGCTTCTTCTGCTTCCCCCACCCTAAGTGGTCCTATCTTAATCCAGAATGGTGCTTTTGGGACTGTTCTAGGTCACCAAGTTCTCCCTTTTCATATTTGACTTATCTGATAAAAAATACTACTTCAAGAAAGCCTACATGCCAGTACCTAGGCTAAGCTCATAGTACTGAAAAACCAAAGAAAGCTCTGTAGCAGATAAAATAACTTGTTTATATAGAAATCAGACAGCAAATTGCATCAATACAGACATGTTGTATCAGCAATGTAGTTCATTTTAAGCATCTGTTAGACTGCTTGCAGGAGAGGAGATTCATTAAATTGCTGTATGTTTAAGTGATATTGCTGCTTTTTGTGCTCTGACCAGCCAAAAATGTTTGCTTTGGGTTTTTTCGAGCCACGGTCCTATTTTTGACTTGCAATTTAGTAGTTTCTTTCTGTTGGTTTGAGGGCTTTTTTGTTTGCTATTTTTGAGGGATTTAATTTCTCTTTTTCTTCCCCTCTTCCCTCCTTTTGAAGTGCTGTTCTGCTCTGTCTTGAGAGAGTGAATGGCTGTGCTCATCACTGTAGTACCTTTCAGTGGTAATGAAATATAGCTGGAGCTTTGTCTCTGCTGCTCAGTGACTTTTCTAATCTCTCCTACCATGGAAAAGCCATAAGAAGTACAAAGTCTTGTTTGGTCTATCTCCACATAGTTTTGGTTGTGTGGCATTTTCGTTATTATTATTAATTTTATTAGGCTATTTCTTTACATGCAAGTCAAAAAAATGACGTTTAAGAAAATGCTGTGACTGTGCCTGAACATGTAGGGTTTTCCTTCTGCCCCTACATAGAAAGCCAGCTACAAAAATTGAGTATTTATTGGAAAATAGAGGTGCTGCCAAGAAGGATGGCACATCTGCCCAGGGATGGAGCAGTGCTTTTTGCTTTCCCCTGCAGTGCAACAGGATCATGTGGTTAGGAACCACCTAGTTCTGCACTAGTGCTCTAGTAACAGCTGTGTTTTGCATGGCAAGAAGAAAGAATTAGCCCTTCTGAGATCTCCCATATGGAATTTTTGGGGTGACAGAACAGAAAAAGGAAGAAGCTCAAGGTTTTGTTGACCATGAAAGAGTCACTAAGGTTATATTCCCAGATCTGAGTAGTTCCCACCTTGCCAGGAGATACATGATCTTGTGAACCTTCTGGAAAGCACAGGTTTCCTCCCTGCCAGATGAAAAACTGCTTACTGTGGGAGAAAAATCATGCTCTGATGTTTTCTTACACCAGATCGGGTCTAGCTGTCTGATTATCATGCAGTATTTAATGAAAGAACAATCAACTTTCCTTCATTCCCAGACATACAAAAGGAAATTAAGCAGTTATAAGGTGGAACACAGGCCTCATGTCTCACATAGTAATGATTCCTATTTGCTTCAAGCTTTCTGTAACCTCTCTCCTCTGTAACATGTTAGGAGACAGTGGGAAATCACTCAGGTGAATTTTGTAAGGTGCTTTTTCCCTTCATGGAGTAGTTTCCCATTTGTTTTTGAGAGCTTTGGGACACAGCTGAACACAGCAGTTTGCAGCATCATCTTGCATTAGTTGTCAGGGCTCCTTTGTGAAATACCTCTTTGCCCCTTCCTGGGATCACTCAGTTTGAATCCCTTTGAAGCTGCCACAGCTACTGAAACATGAGATTCCAGAGCAAATGGAAACTGGGATGTGCTGTCACATCATCTCTCACATGGAATATCTTGTCACTACATTTGCACACAAAGAGAAAATGTAAACTTCATTTCACCTCTAGCTTGGTGAGGATTTTTTATAATAGACACTTGTCATTTTTCCAGGAAGAAAAATACTCCTAAAGACATTTTAGGAGAATTAACACTGTGGGAATCTTAAAGAGGAAAACAAATCTCATCCATTTACTTTTTAAGCAGGTCACAACATAAGCTCCAGTACCAAGGGGCTGGTTTTAAAAATGGACTCTGACCTGTGTTCATTAAATGGACGGTGTATAATGAGCATAGGCCAGGGGTCAAGTGGCTCCAACTGGGAGGCAGCACAGGAGCAGTGGCTTTTTCTCTCCAGTTGGAGGGCAGTGCAAGCCCAACAGGAGCACTGGATTCTTCTCTCCAGCTGGGAGGCAGTGAAATCCTAAAAGGAGCAGTGGATTCTTCTCTCCAGCTGGGAGGCAGTGAAATCCTAAAAGGAGCAGTGGATTCTTCTCTCCAGCTGGGAGGCAGTGAAATCCTAAAAGGAGCAGTGGATTCTTCTCTCCAGCTGGGAGGCAGTGAAATCCTAAAAGGAGCAGTGGTCTCCTCTCTTGGCACATCTGTGTGAGTGAATTGATTAATTTTTGTGCCCTTTTGAGAGCCAGCATTAGCTGAGAAGAGCTTTGCTGCTGCTTCAGCTCTGCCTGTCAGCCAGCACCTCTCTGGGGTTTAATGGGTTTCTGGTCTCACTAAACTCTGCAGGATCACTTGGGGCAAGGCAGCCATGGCCCATGGAGCCAGATGCATTTCTCCAACACCCTTTGGAGCATCTGAGAGGACTGAGGCTTTCACTAGTGAATGTGCAGATGACCCTGAGCTGGAGCGTGTGTCCATCTGCTGGAGGGCAGGAGGGCTCTGCAGGGAGAGCTAGAATGGTTGGATGGGTGGGCAGAGTCCAATGGGATGAAATTCAGTTCCATTTTTTTTATGGAACAGTCAGAGGTGAGTCATGTGAAATATGAGCGCACACAAAATAAATGCAGGGAAAAAAATGTTCTTTTATCCAAAGTTACCGGAACAATTCTCTCAGCTTTAGTGACATCTGCAGTGTAAGGCGAAACCCTTCTAGGCAAAGGTTGTTAGAGATGTGATTATTATGAATTATATCAATCTAGCCACCAATTAACAACTTGAATAAATGATTACATTCATTATTGGGCATGATGTAAAGCTAATTGAAGTCTGCAGGAGTTTTTCTATTCAGTTTATGGAGCTTTGGATCAGGCCCAGAAGCATATAGCCAAATTAAAATAATTTTTATTTTTTTAGGTGGTAATTTTCTTGTATTCTGTTTAAGTTGGGGAAACACATTGAACACATTGTTTCTAACCTGTGTGGCCCCAGTAATAAAGAATGAGCCTTTCTCCTAAAACTCCTGGCAAAATCCAGTTCCTGCCAAGAACATTACTGTTATTTCTTTACATACAAGGCCATGTGATGTGCTGGAGCTGCAGAACATGCTCAGCCCATGGAATTGCCAAATAATGTGTCAAAAATTGAAATGTTCCTTTAGCCATCCCCACAATTAAAGAAGAGAAAGGCAAGAGAAATGAGTTTTTATAAGTTGTCAAAACAACCACTCCCTCCTTGCCAAGATTCTTTTATGAAACCATTTCAGGAGGAAATCATAATTTTTTTGTTTCTGTTACCTCTTTCATAAGACTACGGGTACTGTGTTGGCTGCATTTCAATGGGGTAATCATGATTTTCTTTACTGAAAACTCTTTTTATTTGTATACAGTTACTCACTGTATTTTTGGAGCTATCTTGTAATAATATCTCTTGTTATTTGTACAGATATTTTACTGAAATACTGATAAATTCTGATACCAGAGTAGTTTGAAGGGTGAGAAGAGTGAAAAGAAAGGAAATCTCTGTAGTAAATCATAATTTCAGGCTACAAAGAAGGTGAGAAAGCAAACAGGGAACTGTCTTTCTGTCATGAGTATGGAAAAACAAAATCAGAAGAGCCAGCAATATTTTTAAAATTAAAAATGAGAAATAAATGGATCTCCAAACCAGGTTCAGTTTTTCTTTGTTGCATGACAAAGATTTAAAATGAAACATTGATTAGAAAATAAAAACTATATGAAACTATATAAAAAGTTTGTTCAGTTGTGACTAGGATAGTTTCTGGGTTTGTGGGTTTTGTTGGTTTGTGGGTTTTTTGGTTTGGTTTGGTTTTTTTTTTTGTTTGGGTTTTTTTTGTTTTTTGTTTGTTTTTCGGGGGGGTTTTTTTGGAGGTTCAGGCAGTGGCAGCATGGTGAAACTACTGACTTATATCTGATAGTTATTCTAAAAATGTTTCTGTGCTTAAAAAGAAGTCAGGACAGTAATGAGAAGCTGAATTTTGTGTCTGTGCTGGTCTGGCTCATTTGACTGCAGCAGCAGAGCTCAGGGAAGGAGGACAAAGCATCTCTCTGAAATGGCCCCCTGAGTCCCTCTTGCTGTGCTGGAATCTGTGATAATTAATAACTTTAAAGCACACTGAGCACCTGGAACGACTCTGAAATGAAATAACTTTGTATTTGACTGTACCTGGTTTGAGCTTTGAGGCAAAAGAAAAACCAAAAAGATGCTTCTGAATGCCTTTTGGATGTCAGCATTAAAAATCATATGTGGTATAGAAAGGGAAAAAAAACTAAATCCCAACCTTGATAAAACATGTTCAGGCTTCTCATGCCTGAGGTTATTTGTGGTGTATTGAGTAAGGAAGTATTGGAGAGGGGGGGTAGAACTCAAGCAGCACGCCTCCTTTTCATTTATTATTCCTCTTAAGTTGTTTCTGATGCTTTAAAAAGTAAGCAAGTATCAGTATTGTTTCCATCTCTGATATTTCAGGTCTTTGCTGGGTTTAATTTCCTCAGTCCAGTGTGTAATCCATTTGTGTAAATCACTGCATTGTGCAAAAATAAATTCAAATAATTTCTGTCCCTTCACATGCAAGGGTTAGGTTGAAAGTGCATGCAGATTTCCTTCAGATGCTCAAGAAAATGTGTTTCCCTTTGCTCTTTACTGATTTTCTCCATCTGTCTCATCATCTAGATATTTACCCAGAGAATGATTTATATAAAATAGAAATACAGTCTTACACTGTTTGAAACTTTCCCTCTAACCCTTAGTTCATTATATTTTCATGTGGGCTTAAGGGTTTTAATATAAAGGCTTTTTGGCTCTTCAGGTGCTTTTGCAGTAAATAATTATAAAATCACAATTAATGGTGTATTTCCTTCACTTATTTTCCTGTGATCCATAAGTTTTATTTCAGGGAGTCCTCAATTCATAGGTAGCATTTTATATTTTAGCTTAATAGAACTTTAGTAGATACAGAGTTGATTTTTTGAATCCTTTAAATTTTTGGCATTTACCGTGTCATGTGTTAGGGAATTTTACAGGTTGATCTTTACTTTCCATGAAGAAAAATCTCAGATTTTAACCCAATTGGATTCCTGTCTCTTTGAATGCCCATGGGGGACTGGGAAGAAGCAGTGACAATTGTTTCATGCTTACTCACCTCCTCCTTGCCAGGCAGGATTTTAGAAGCTTTCATCATGTCCTTTCTCCCCCACCTCTCTGGTTATTCCTGGTTCAGCAGCTCTTCTCTGGTTTTGCTCACCCTCGCAGCACTCTCTTAAATCTTTTTCCTGCTCAGTTTTTCCTGAAAGGAGCAGACCAGGAGTGTGTACAACATTCCAGCTGAGTGCTCTGTGTATTTGTGTTGTGGCACAATTGTGATTTGAGGCTTTTTTTCTGTCCTGTGATTTGTGGAAAAAACTTTTTATAAAAAACTTGTAAAAGTCATGAATTAGGCATGTATTCTTATTTAATGCTGGGTGCATGCAGGGATAGTTCTGTAAAGAATGTGTGTGCTCTCTGTGAGTCTAGTTTATTTTTTTGTCTCTTAATTTGTTGTATATGTATTAAGTTTCACAATAGGTTTATATCTATTTATATTATTTATATAATTTATATTTCATTTATATAATTTTACATAAAATACAATATATATTCATATTATATTTTTATAAATAGAAACATAAACAATAAATATATAATTATATATGTTATTAAAATAAATATATTAAATATTTTTATCTATAATAAATGTAGCTACATCAGAGAAGGTTTAGGCTGGATATTGGGAAAAAAAATTTCACTGAAAGAATAATAAAATACTGGAATTGTCTTCCTAGGGAGGTGGTGGAATCACCATCTCTGGATATGTTTAAAAAAAGACTGGACTTGGCACTTGGTGCAATAGTCTAATTGTGGTGTTAGGGCATAGGTTGGATTTGATGACCTTAGAGGTCTCTTCCAATCTCATTATTCTGTCATTCTATAAATATATTCTATATGCATATATTATTTTTGTATTAATATAATATATATTTATATTTAATTTCTATTATTTTATATTTCTTTACTAATTTCACATTACAATTTATTATTTTCATTTCTTGTACAGAGAGAGCTCTTTAGTTGTCTGTTTCTTGTAGTTTCAGTTTTGGTTTGCTTTCTGTTTCAAGGTCTAAGGGACTCTTATCTTCTTCCAGTTTGGAAGTTTACATTCTTTTTATTTTGTTTGAGATAATTTTGTAAGTTACAGGTTTTTCACGAGTACAGTGAATTAATTAGACTAAACAAGTTAAACAATTCAAAACAGCAGACTTCACTTAAATCTGAAATGGATTTCTAACCTAAGTGAACTCTAAACTTCATGTCTCACCTGCTCCTGGGAAATGGGGACACCCCGGTTACTGTGACATTCACATTCTCTGGACAGAGAGACATAATTCTGTGTCTCCGGAGAAGCACAGAGAGAAGAAGAGAAAACAATCTTTATCTTTGCTCCTTTGCTTTCCCCAATGGAATGTGGTGTGGAGATTGTTTACCTGCAGTGATTGCTGGGTTGGATTCTGGTGGAGGTTGTTTAGGTTCAGTGACCAATGGATCCAGCTGAGAGTCACGAGTTTGAGTTAGATAGGTGAGCAAGAAGTAAATGTGTAGAATAGGATAGTATCTCTTTAAATAGTACATTAATCTAATATAGTATAGTTTTAATAAAGCAGATCCTTCATCCTTCTGATCTGGAGCCAGACATCATCATTTCTTCCCTGAGCCGAGGTCACCGCGTTTGACTCTAGGTTACATTTCCGAGCGCGTTGGATGCTGCTGGAATGTTTTCCCTGCTCTGGGAGGGCTGAGTGCCCTCCTGACAGCTCCCCTGTCTCTGCAGCTGCTGATGGCATGGTGTGCAACGAGCTGTGCTCCAGCGACGGCTGCTGGGGGCCAGGGCCAGACCAGTGCCTGTCCTGCAAGCGCTTCATCCGGGGCAGGACCTGCATCGACTCCTGCAACCTCTACGACGGGTAAGACACTCCCCTTGGGCCTCTCCCCAAAGCTGCTCATTGGCATTCTTCAGGGCTTCAATGAGCGAGTCACTTTGGGTTTGCATTAATCAGTATCTGGTTCTATTGCCAATGTTACTGATTTTGGGTGAAAAGCGCCATGGGGTAAGATTTAAGAATTTCTAAATCTGAACTTGTGTGGAACGCTTTCCCTGGTGTTCTGCTGACCAAAGTTTTCATGCAGCATCATCACCTTGCACCTTTTGCATTGCTGGTAATGTGGACAATTTGATTTAGGTGAAAAATTACAGAAAAACCCTCATCATTTTCCCCTACTTGGTACCCTTATTGAGAACCATACAATTAAGTTCTTTCAGATGAGTTGGATTCAGGCATCTGATAAAGAAATTCTCTAAATAAGGACCCCAAAATAGAAAAACTCACTTCCTTTTTGATAATGCACCATGTAATTAATTGTACACAGAAATACAAATTTAGAAACCCAACAGGAGTTCTTGCCCCTTTTCCTATTGCTATTTATACTGGGGGAATACCTCCACAACACAAGGTGGTTGAATCTGCCTTCTGACAGAAAGATAAAGCTGAACTGAGCCAAATGAACTCCCACAAATGCATGACAATATTCTCAACTTTTCCAGCTGGAGAAGGCTTGCAAAAATTACTTTGTCAGAGCACAGTTTTATGTGCTTAAAAGCTCCTATTCTCTCCTCCCCCTTCACCCCTCCAGTAAGGAGAATTGCAGACCCCAGCTGTGCTGTCAGTGCATTGGAATAAGTTGGTTCTGTCAGTTCTATCCTAAATATGTGAAAATATTTATAACCTGGGCTAAGGAAGAACTTTTTTTGTTTGTGGGAGAGCTCTGCATGTTGATGTTGTAGGGCAGCAACAGGGTGGGGGTCAAGCTGTATTTGACATCTCTTTCAGTCCTCAGCAGGAAAAAATCTACTCCCAGAGCCAGGGAAGGGTGAGCTCCCCTGCAGCACTCAAGTGAGGTTTTCTTCAGCTCCATCCTGATGTCCTCAGCAATCCTAATGGTTGTAGAGGAATGGAGGGTGAGCAGTGACCACCTGAGCTCAGAATCTTCACCCTTTACCTGGATAAAGGTTCTGGAGCCCCCTAACATGAGTGTGTAGCGCATCTGTAGCTGGTTAATGCAAATATTGTAATTGGTTAATGCAGCAAGATGGGTTCCCCTTGCAAAGCTTGGCTTGGTCCACTCTGAGCCTACCAAAAAGATTCAGTCTGTCTTTAGTGGGAGAGAAACAATTTCCTCAGATGTGAATTCTTCTTGGCCTTAGAAGAAAGTGGGATGGATTGTGCTGGGAGAGTGCTGGAGTTTTGTGGTGGGGGATAACTGGCAGCTGAAATGTTTGAAGGAAGAAATTCAACCTGCCATCACTACCTTTTTTCCCCTTTAAAAGTGGTTAAAAAAAAAAAAAAAAAAGTCGCTTGAGTGGTAGTTTCTTGTGGATCCATGAAATAAATGAGTAAAAGGATTTGTTTGGACATTTTATAGATTGAGACCTCAGTCCAGCGTTATTGCTGGAAACATTATGAGCCTTTTGGAGCATGGGCTTTAAAAACATGTGTTCGTAGAGCCCTACCTGCAACAAGGGCAGCTCTGTCATCAGTGCTCACATGTGGCCAGTGGCTTCCTGACTCTGAGCCACAATCCTGTAGGTGAAAATCAAGAAGCCAGCAGTTTTGTCCTGTTAATGAAGTCTATTTCTGAATGAGAGGAAGGCCCTCGCTATAAAACTATAGTTTTATGTTGGTGAGGGAGGTGTTTCTGCTTCACCTGGCCGTGGATGAGGTGGTGGCCTCAGTGCCCCTGAGATCACTTCCAGCCAGGTGAGCTCAGTTTTGGCCTGGAGTCAGATTTCTCCTAAACCTGCCTGCAAAATATTTCCTCAGGGAATTCCGAGAGTTTGCCAACGGCTCAGTGTGTGTGGAGTGTGATCCCCAGTGTGAGAAGATGGAGGAAAACATGATCACCTGCTACGGGCCGGTAAGGACAGAGCCTGCTGTGTTTGTAGGGCTTTGCTTTGGTTTGCTTTGTTATGGTTCAGGGTAACTTGCAAAAAATGTGCTGAAGGACAGGGTTTTCCTGCTTACAGACTTGAAAGCAGCTACTGCAAATTGGTGAAACAAAACCAGAAAAACAGAAAACACACATATTCTGTATGTAGGGAAGGAATTCTGCTCGTGCTAAATTGATGCTGGGATCTGCCTTGGATCTGCCTCCTTAAGAAAGGGATTTTGAAAGTTTTCCTTTTCTTTTCAAGTTGTCTTAATGCTTTAGTGGTACAGAGGCACACAAGTTTTACAGTTGGGATTTGAGTGCCCTCTTTTATCTCTATTTTCATTCTTTATATACCCCCTCCCCCCAAAAAAAAAATAAAAGTGTGGGAATTTGTCTCAGTTCCTCAGTTTGAACAATATGCTTTTTTGTACTTAGATAGCCTTTAGGTTCTTTTGATAGCTAACATTTTTCATGCATCCTAAATGATGGTTAACTCTTTGTCACCTTTATAATGGCCAGTAACTTTTCTTTCAAAGATTGTAGCTCATTTTGAAGGTAGACGTTGTCTCTTTCTTCTAGTTTCCTGTGTATTGCCAAGATTAAAAGTCACTGGAATTGAGGAGTTGTATTTTAGGCTATTCATAATTGATAAAATATAACCTGTAATTTATCTCCTTATTTCTGTGACTTACTTACTGAATGAAAAAAAGAAAGACATCATAATTTTTCTTACAATACTGTGTTTTTCTGCAATACAGCCATAAGGCAAGAGGTTAACGTTTCAAGTGTTCAGCCTATCAGGGAAATTTGGATTTGTAGCAGGCCTTGTGGACATAAAATCCTAGGCCAATACTCAGCCTGGACACCAGATTTAGTTATGCACTGACTTATCATCACAGCTTTAAAGTTTTACTTTTACATTGTCCAGGAGTCTTGGTTTGTTGTTCTTAACAATTGGGTCTTGGTACATATTAAGAAGAAGGAGGAATTTGTAGTCATTTATCTTGTAGAATGAAGAACCTTGTAGTCCTTCTTTATTGCTGTGACCAGATGTCATTTGGAGAATGCTTGTGGAAAGTAATTTTGGGGTGCAGAGGTAGGAGACCCCACTGAAGGCTTTGCAAAGGTGGCTCAGTGCTGGGTAGTGCAGCAGGAAGTTTCTCAGCATTAAAGTGGGCACTGACTTCACTGCCCTAAGCACACCAACAATATTAAGAAGCTCATCTAGAAGCTGGTATTTAGTCTTGCACTCTACAGAAGAAGCTAGTGGCCAAAAGCAGCAGGGTTTATCTGTCTGCAGCTCCCCGACAGAGGCTGGAACCATGCAGGGGATTCAGTGATCCTTGGGAGGAGAAGCTGCTGCAGGTGCTGCTGAGTGTGTGCCAGTGCAAAGGACAGAGTAACTTCAACGCACTGCATTTCTTTCCTCCATGCTCTCCAGGGACCTGACCACTGCACAAAGTGTTTCCATTTTAAGGATGGTCCAAATTGTGTGGAAAAATGTCCTGATGGCTTGCAGGGGGCCAACAGCTTCATTTTCAAGTACGCTGACGAGGATCGGGAGTGCCATCCGTGTCATCCCAACTGCACCCAAGGGTGAGTGCCAGCTCTGCAGGGAGCCATCCAATCCACGTGCTGCTCCCAGCACAGGGTGCTTTAGAGCTAGTTTGGCTTAGTGAACCTCTTGTCCCACTCCTGCAAAGAGAATATGCAGTAGGAATTTAACCTTTGATTTTCAGGTCTCTCATGATGTTCAGGTTTTAGTCATGAACGCCCAGCAGTTTCTCACAAAAAAACCTTTTGAAGACCACAGAGAAGAACTTTACACAGCAATGCTCTCAGCTTTCCTTCTACAGTGGTTTGTAGCAAATGCTGCCCTTTCACTTAATTTCAGGCCTGTAAAATGACATTTTTTTTAGTATTGCAACTTGGTATTGGTGAACTAAGCCTGCAGCGCTACTGTGAGACAAAAGTGTTACTGCTCTCCTTTTCCTACAGGTACTGATGCACAGAGTTTGAAACAGGATTTTATACAGGAGCCTGAGACTGATCATCAATTTCTGAAGTCCCATAAAAGGGCCTATAATAATTTTCTACACTTGGAATTTGTTACACTTGGAATAATAACAGCCCATGGATCAGAGCCAGAATTAAGAACCTGTACAACACAACAGCAATAGTCACATGCACACCTCTAGTTTTGCACAGGCCACATAAGTTATTCCTGCCTTTTCCATGGGGCAATTCAGAGTGTCCAGCATACAAAGAGAGGAAGAGGCAGCAATGGGAAAAAGAGAAAACACCAGCCAGTGAAATAATCTTCAACAAGAGGCTCTCATTGTTTAGCAGCTAAAATTAAACCAGTAAATTATTCAATGTAATCTTGATGTCAACAGCTGTTGCCATTCAAAATGAGACCTTTTGCTGGTTTTGCAAATCTAATTACAATAGAGCCATTAGGGAAATGAGAGGGAGATCACAGAGACACAGCCAGGATCTGTTACAGATTTGTCTCCCCCCAGACCCTTTAAATCAGTTATGCAATAAGAAAAATGCTGCTACTGTGGAAAAAGAGGGTAAGAAGAAATGATATTCAAAGACAAGCTCACTCCAGGAGCTCTGGTCCTGGCTTTCATAGATGGAGAAGGTGCCAATGCTGATCTAATCTGACAAAACCACCGATGTGTGATGGATTTACTGTCTGCCCAGCACAGGAAGTGCCTTGCAGCTCTCCTGGCCTCCAGAGAGAAACACTTCTCCCTATTCCCTCCTCTTTCCTGAGCAGTTCTAACTGGCCCAGCTGTTTCTAGTGTTTGTGGCCCAACTGTGCTTCTCCTAGACCAGGAAGAGAGCAAAAGGTTTTCCATGCCATTCCACTTCTCCATAGGCATTCGCATTTTGCAAGTGGTTGTATAATTTTATCTGCCTGGATGGAGAAGGGAGGTTTTTATGTCTTGTGCTGAAAATGGGACATTCTAGTTCATGCACAAATAGGAAGGGCATTAGGCAGTTCTAGCTGACCTTGGCAGTCCTCATTGGCAACTTGCTGACCTAGGGTTCCCTTATGCCAAGTGATGTTGTCCTTTTAATCCTTGGACTTTGTTGTCCCTCCTTTCTGTTTTCTCCTCCTGATGAGGTGAAAGAACGTTCCACAGTGTGCCCATCCCCAGAGAAAATACAAGTAAAAGAGCCAAAGTCTCTCCCCCAGTTACATACACAAAGGCCATGATGTTCCCATCTCCCAGATGAGGAACCATCCCTTTTCCATGACACTAATTTCCCTGTGAAGATCTTTATCCTCTTTATTAAAGAGTTGATGTGTCTATTCCTAGGTATTTTATTATTTTATAATTATTTCCCTTAAAACAATGCTCTCTTCCCCCCAAGTCTGGGTAAGCATGGCTTACTGTTCTTTTTTAGGGCTCCTAGAGACTTGGTGGCATGTGATTATGTTAATGAAGCTAATAATGACTGCCCAAGATATCTGGGGTTTGCAGATTGCCCATCTCCTTGCCAACATTGTCAGGGGCTGAATTTGCCCACAGAGAGAAGGGAAATCAGTTACTCTCTCCTTTCCTCCCTCAAGGCTGAGTTCTCTGGTTTCATTCCCTTCCCTTAGAAAGTAGTATTTAAATTCCCCTTAGTCATGATTCTTCACTGAGATAGGTTGTGGAGAGAGCACAGCTTGCTGTTTGGCTCATGGCTGAAAGGAAGAGAGAAAACTTAATTCTGCTTCATCCCTCACATCTGCTCTCCTGGCTGCCAGATCAAGTGCTGGAATTACAGCAGTGCCCTCTCAGTACAGCTGGGATACCCATCCAAAAGGGCTGAGCTGCTGCAGAGCAATGTTTCCCACTATGGTATAGTCTCATTCCTGCAGTGCTGCTCTCTATCAGCCAGGCTCCTTGATAAAATAGGTTATTAGTTCTCACATGATATTTCCAGTTATCCCCACCAGTTGTCACCAAGGCAGGATCAGTCCCACCTCTGTTTCCTGTGTTTTGCCACAAATTCCATCTTGGCATTTGCGGAGGACTGCTTTAGTGAGGTGTGCTAGCACCATTCTCCTCCCTTATTCAAGTGTTTCTCCTAACAGGTGGGTGATTATCCAGCCCTGTTAATGATCTTGCTTTGACCAGAAGAACTGTCAGACAGGGACTTCCTTGGGTGCAGCAACAGTGCTCCTGCCCTTATATCCCTGTGACAAGCATCAGCTACTTGCAGCCAGTTTGGAGCAGATCTGAGGCACGTGGGACAGCTATCCCACTTAATTCAAGAGAGTTGGAAAGCTCTTCTTGCAGAGCCAGCCAAAACTGAACATTTCCACAGGAATAGAACACTAATTACACAACAGCAAGTGACAGCTTGCTTCCTTGCTGGGCAGGACACAAACGGGAGACCTCACCGGACACTTCCCCTCACCATACAAACACGTTTTGTCACACAGCTTTTTGATGAGAGGGCACTGCTCCTCACCAAAATTCTCTTTTCCTTCTAAGCCATGACCAGAGAAGTCAGGGGAGCTCTAGCAACACTGTGTGTCCCTGAAGGGATTTGAGAGCAGAATCACTGTGTTGCCTCTAAAGCTTAGGTGCATTTTTGGGAAGAAAGTTTGAATTCCAGATGAAAGAATATTGCAAACACACTCTGGATAAGGAAAACTGTTTTGTTTTGCAAATTTTCCTCCTAGCCCCTGCTCCAGTTCAACTTTGTTCCTCTCACATGAGTTAATTCCTCTCACCTGTTAGCTCAGTAGCCCTTGGGTAGAGTTGTATGACCTTATCCATGACAACAGCCGGTGACCACCACAAAAAAAGGTTTTCTCCTGCCCAGAGCTAATGCACTTACAGCATTGTAAAATCAGTTTTGTTTGTTTCCAGTGACAGATTTTTGAGAATTCATCTGGCATGGAATGGCTTTGCTGCCCCATACCTGTGCAGTTAAAACCCCACCTTTCAATCTCAAAGAAAGCTGATAAATGACGATATTTCTGGATTGTTTCTGAAAAAAAAAAAAAAAAAAGAAAAACAAACAAAAAAAACCCAACCAGTTGTTACTGCAAATTTCAAAACCCCAGATTTCCTTTCAGGGGATGATTATCCATTTAGCTAGATGAGCTCCAAGTATAATTTTCTGGATAAGCTGTATTGAACCTTTGTAAGGTACTACTGAATATACTGACTATATAATTAATGAATTGGCATGTATCAACTAACCAGTTCATTTTACAGGAGCAACTTGGAAAAGAAAATACCATCCAGACTCCAAGCAGCAGGAACACTGGGCGTGAACAGCGTGATGTATGATTGTGTCAGGCTTAGATGGGTCAAAAAGCCTGAAATGAAGGGAATTCCCTCCTGGGGAAAAATACCTGATGACTTGTGGTACAAAATACCCTGTTAATAAATATTGCCAATGTTGTGATTCACTGCATGTAATCAGGACAGACACTCAGGGAACTGCCTAACTAGGAGTAAGTAACGGAATTGCACCTGGACAGAGTTTTCTCTTTGGGGAAGCCAAGTCCACTGAAGAAGATGACACTTGAAATAAAAATCAATGATACTTCAACTTGCACTGGGTGTGGTCCAGCAGTCCCAGTCTGGATGCAATCCTGTTCTCCAAATGAAGTGACTCCAAGACAACAGGCTCTTGATGTCAGTCTGCCAGTTCTCTAAACCAGTGGCAGGCTCTCAGACCTCTAATTTGAAGGTGCCCTTCTTTTTATTTACAGCAAGAGTCTGAGCTCAGCTTTTCTAGGCGTGGTAGGAAATGGACAATCAGAGCAATTCTTCAGCCTCCTTCATTGCCGAGCTTGTTTTCTCCAAATTGCTGAGAATGCCATGAGAGGAGGAAACATTCTGAAGTGCTGATGCCCAGAACAGCTGAAATTCCAAGAGATCTCTCTATTAAGTTTTTGAACTGTGTTAAATCAACTCTCACATTTATGCATTATCTGGACTTTTAACGCATCTGTTTTTATGTCTGCACATATGCTGGAGGAAGCAATCATTGAGGAAATCCTTGCAGTTTGTGTTTGCATATCAGAGTAAATGTCTTATGTAAAAATAAGAATTCAAGTAAACAAACAAAGGGTAAGGTTTACTAGCTCTGCTCTCCCTGATGAGCAGGTAAGGGGAAATTGAATTCAGACTTCGTTTTATAATGGCAGAGTGATACCAATTTAAATGCAGCAAAAGTTGAGGAGTGGCAAGTGATGGTGAAGCAGAAAGAAGATCTCGTGGGAGCTTATTTGAACTCTCCGATTTTTTGACATGCATATCCTTCCATCAAAACCAACCTGAAAAAACAGCAAACTTTAAAAGAGTTTGGGATCACACCTTAAATTTAAAATGCCTCAACAGAAATAAGTTGCAGTCTAGTGATGTGTCAGATCACTTCTGCTGCCTGTAGTAGATGTACAGCCAAAGGGCCTGTTAATAAAATGGCTCTGAGATCTTGTTAAAGAGTTCAAATAAATGGTTTGGTTTCCTTAAATGCTGAGGGCTAGATACTCCCCATGGCTAGAATGCCTAGCTGGGTGTGCAGCACCGAAGGGCGTCTGGTGGTTTTAACCCCAAAAAGCTCAACTTTAGGTCTCTGAGAATCCTGACTGCTGTGTAAATGTATATTTGACTTGCTGTTTGAATGCAGGGGACTAGGAAACCAGTCGTGCTCTTCCTGGGAGCAAGGGAAATTCACACATGCCACACGTGTTCTGCAAACTCTTTTCCATGGCTGTGTTTTTGTGGTGCTGCATTTAGTGATTCCTTGCATTGCCAGTTCCTTTGGTGAGCACATGCTGATTGTGCAGGTGGAGGACGTCTGGCAGCATATAAGGAAAGCAGAATAAAATGTCTGAATCAGCAGACACCATTTTGCTGTGGTTTTTGTTGCTGGAAGTTGATCCTTGAGCTTCCTTGTTAAAAAAGGATCTTCAGCTTCCAAAATATTTCTTCACTTACCCTGGCTGGGAACTTAGAACAGAAACAAACAATTACATCAATTACAGAAAGAAAAGCAAGTTCTGGATTGTGCTTCAGGAAATCTCGACTTGTAAATTAACAGCTTTTGTGTGGTAATCACTGATGACTCATAAAAACACGCAGGAAAAGCAAACCTGTTGTCAGGACTCCCACGTACACAGGTGAAACCTGCCTTAAAGTGCTGTTTGAGCCAAGATATTGTGGGAATCCAGGGCTTCCCTCTGGCTGCCCTGGAAGGCCTGGGACCTTGGCAGGGGGTCAGGAACTGCCCTGTATAGAGCCCCAAGAGACACTGTCAGTGATCTCTGTCCATGGAAAAGAGTTTTCAATCTTACAGGATGAATTACAAGCTCTGAGTGTTTGATATGAGTAATAATTAAGGGTGGCAGGGGTGCAAAAGTAAAATTTTAGGATTCTAGATTAGGGGTCCAAAGGGGACAAGATGGAGGAAACTGGGTGTGTTTTGTCCTTTTTCTCCTTCTTCATGCCCTCCATGTTTCACTGCAGTGTTGGCATTTTTCTGTTGGTTTAAGTTAGGGACACACTATTCAACATAAATGATAGATATTGGCACATTATTATAAATATAGCACACATAGTTTCTGGTATTTAATGTTTGTAACATCCCACTGAGGGCAGAGCCCCACACGCTGCCCTGCAGGACAGACCTGCGGCAGGGCAGTAGAACATGTTAGAGAAAAACAGAATAAACAACCTTCAAACCTGCACAGACGAATTATGACTTCTTCTTTAACAACAAAGCAAAAAGACAAAAACGTTCTACAATCTCGAATCATCAATGCCACAAATTCCAACAGATATGGCCTGCCTTGGGATGCTGTTGCTATTGTTCTTGCCACAAGCTGTAATTTTGGGTGACATAGGCCTCTCCTAGCGAGAGAAGAGCTGGAATGAAGAACGCAAAGGGGATTCCTGCTGGTTGAGTGTGTCGATAACAGCTGTCTCTCTTTCTCTCCCTGTTTCCACTCTGGATTTGCTGCAGGTGCATAGGGCCACACCTGGAGGACTGCATCGGGCTGATGGATAGGTACTGGCTGGGTGCTGGCTGCCTGTGTGTCTCCATCCTGCACGTGTGGACAAGGGCGCATGCGCGTGCATGTCCTGGTGGTTTGACGTGGTTTGTTCTGTAATTGCCTGCAGGTGTAGAGGCCCAGCTAGTCATGACTGCATTTTCTATCCATGGACACGGCAGTCCACGCTGCCACAGCACGCTAGGTAACATCCCCACCCCATCCTGCCCACCTGCCTGCCCAGGAACGTCATAGCAGCCAGTTTGAACGCACAGCTTAGGGAGATCTGCCTCTCTGCATCCAACTTTGCTTCCTGTTTGAAGGCTAAATAAATATTCTACTTGTACCTTTTTAAAAATTGTTTTTATTTTTAGCTTGAATCCTTATTTAAGCTTTAATCGTTAAATCAGTAAGGATTAAATTCTGAAATTTCCCACAGACATTCATATTTCCAGATTAAATTGTATTAGATGGTAAAAATTCTGGTAAAATTGGAATGCACTTGTTTTCTCTTTATTGAGTTTTTTTGTTGAGATTGGTTTTTTGTTTACGACAAAATTTAAAAGCAAATGAATTTCTTTCAGGAAATATTATAGCAAAACAAAATTTCTTCCTTAATTCAAATAAAACTTTTTTTTTTCATTTTCTGTTCAAAAGAAAAATTGTAACCTTGCAGCAATTTTATTTTTCGGTAATGACAATTGAAACAAATTAAGGTGGGCTTTATTCTGCATTCTTTTTTATGAAAGCCCTACATTGCTATTGAGTTTGTTCATTCTTAAATTCAAACTGGTTAATATGACTTCTAGGCTTTGGGATTACTCTCCTGACCTAAGACTAGATGAAAAATGCATAAATTCAATCAAACCCACCTCACTGAGATTTTCAGTCTGAGTTTTTTTGTTGTCTTTTTCAGAAGGTTTTGAGGTTGCCTTTCCTTCCTAATTGTGTACATAATGTGAATATACCTATTTCTAGCTTATGAGGGAGAATATATTTGGACTTGAGAAACAGTGCACTATAAATGCTATCAAATGGTACATTTGTTTATTAAATGGGTATCAGTTCTGACTTAATTCATTAACCAATGAATAAGCAACAGGAGATTAATTTCTCAATATTTCCATGTTTCAATATTTCAATCTTTCTGATCTGGGATATCCACTTTGAGATACTTCTGTGAGACCTCATTTTCAGGTGGACTCCTCCAAACAGAGCTGCCCCAGTTTTAAGGGCCCCAATTTCATCAACTCTACTCAAAGCACAAATACAGAAAATGTATTTTTATGATTATTACTATTTCCTTAAGGGCCTTATCAAACTACAGAAATGAGAGGAATTGTTTTATTGTGTTCAGTCCATTCAGTCTGCGGGGGAAGGCCCTCAAATGTTTCCTGTTTCCTTTGGATCTGATGGATAATTTTTTTTGTTTGTTTCAGCCTTGCTGAATTTATTTTAGGGAAATTACTGCCCCGTGTTTAAATGTCAGTATGTATTCTTTCACTTTAAAGGCAAAGAAGGAAACTTCATATCTCTATATTAGATATGTGAAATTGTGCTTTTTTATTTTATTTTTTTTTTATTGTGACAATGGTTCATTCTATTTGGGCTAAAACTGGGCAAACCTGCACTGGCAAAGTGACACGTTTTCGTTACAGTAGGGTTGTAAATCTAAAATAGATGTGTTTAAATTTAGCTACAACCTTCTTCAAGTCCCTTTAACAACTGTGCACCCTCCTGAGACTTGTAAATCTTAAATTAATTAATAATCAGTCTGACACTTATCTATTGACTTGAGTTTTTTCCATTGATGTGAATTATCAGGGAGTAGAAAGGGACAGAATTTTCTGCTGAAAGTGAGAGCAGGACTTTAACCCAAACAAGATTTTCCTCATCTTCACTATTTCCATTTTCATAGCAGTATTGCTTTCCTTTCCAGTTTTTTAGTTTGCAAATTGTTTATGCCATGATCCATTGATTTGAAGGCTTTTGTAAGAGTGTGGTAGAATAGCAAAAGAATTCTTTCTGTCATCTTTAATCAAGATGAATCAGATGTGCATCACGTGCCTTGTTTTCCAAATGGCTGGTAAAACTTCAGTTTTTCTGCTTATCTTTAGTCCCTTCAAGTTTGTGGGAAAGCAGCCTTGCTTTTGGCATTGCATTTCTCTCTGCATAGTTTTGTTTTGGTTTTTTAACCTTTAGGTTCAATAGAGTTCTGTCCAAAAGAACAGCTCCTCATGTAGCTTCCTGTATGGATTATTCCTGTAGGGCTTTGGTTTTGGTTCCACCTTCCATACTGGTCTTTCCTAGAAATTGCCAAAGCAAAGATGAAAAGCAGAACAAACCTGGACTTTGCCACGATGCCCAAAGGAGTTATCCATCCTCCTTTGCTGCCTCTTATTACAATGCCACTCCTCCTTTTGCTACTTTCTGGCAGTTGCATTCAGTTTTGTTGTTTTTTTTTTTTTTTGTGGTTGGACTAGCACACAATAGAACATTCCAGCATATTTTGGAACAATCAGCAAAAAGATGAGTATGTCTGCTCCCAAGATTGGGATGACTGTTGTCTAAAAGGATGATTCAACAGCTATAAAAATAATGCTCTGCTGTTCATTAAGACAATACTCTAGAGAGTCAGGAAAGGCTGGTTCCTTTCAAGTTCACCAGAAAAATTTGGCTAGTGCAGTTATTGGAGCGAGGCTGTGGACGAAGCTCTTACCTAAAGTATGAATTTTAATTGGTTTATCCTTACTGGGCTTCATTCAAATTAATCCTAGGAGAGATCATCAAAGGAGGAGTGAAGTTTTTGTTTTCTGGTGTGTGTGAGATTGTATATCTAAAGATATGATCAGGAACATGTGTTGGATGTGATAGCAAAGAACCAGCACTGATGTTCCTGGTCTGAGTAAGCTGGTGTCTCTGTTTATGCCCCAAGAAAATTTCATTTACATTTCCCTTTTAACTAACAGAAACTAATTAGCCAGGCCCACTATTGTCAAGTGCTTCAATAGAATGTTGTGTAGATGTTAACTCTAATTACAATCCTATTGCTAGTTTTGTATCCAAAAAGGATGTCCTCTCAACAAATCATCACTTCCTCAAAAAAAAAAAAAAAAAGAAAGAAAAAAAGCTGGTTTTATCTCCTGCTTATGTGTACAAGAGCTAATTAGCAGTAAACCCTGTGTAATGCAGGCAAATCCTTTCATAGCTGTTTTGTACCCTGTCACAGTATGACTTCAACAGAATTTCACAGCAGCTCTCAGTAGTTGGTGGGGAAGGGAAACCACCTCTAATAAACTGCTTATGTTCATGGTTTTCATGGTGCTCAGCTCCATTGCTTGGAGGAAAGCACTCCATATGCTCTCTGCTTTTATGGAATAATTATGTTATTCTGGAGGAGCAGAGAATCTCTGTATAAAATAAGAGGAAAAATAAGATCTGTGAGTAGCAGCTAAGCTATGTTACTTGGTTAGTAAAATATGTTACCCTCAAGAGACTCTTAATATGGAGCTTTTTGAAGCTGTATCGGAGCAGAGCAGTTGAAGAAACAGGTTTATTTTTTTAAGAATCCAGACGAGAAAACCAGACCATTTCATATCCTTCCCCAATGGGTTGCATAGATCTTACACATCATCAAAAAGGACAAATTTACAGAATCACAGAATGAGCTAGTTTGGAAAAGACCTTTGAGATCATCAAGTCCAACCTATGACCTAACACCACCTCATCAACTAAACCATTGCACTGAGTGCCATATCCAGTCTTTTCGTTTCTTTTTGCAGAGATGGTGACTCCACCACCTCCCTGGGCAGCCCATTCACCCTTTCTGTGAAAAACTTCCAAATGCCCAACCCAAACCTCCCCTGTGTCCTCCTGTCCCATTGCTGGTTGCCTGGGAGAAGAGACCAACCCCCATCTGGCCATAACCTCCTTTGAGGTTCATGGAAGAGATTGACAGATAAATCCCAATTCTGTGGGTGAACGTGTCTCTGCTGAGCTGGTTCTGAAGCCAGACCTTTGCTGAGGGTACTTTAATTCCTGCCATGGCATTTCCCTGCCTGGAGCTTTAGGAGGAGTACATTTGGAGTACCCTTGTGGCATGAATGAAAGTCACTGCAGTCAGTGATCTTGTGAGCTCCTCCATTTTTTTACCACTTCCACATTTTAAGACTGGTCTTCTTGTGAAAAGGTGTAAATGGGTATTCCTTCTTTCTTGTTGTACAGGTACAATCCTAGAAGGGTTTGGGTTGGAAAGGTTATTCCTTCTTTACAGGTACAATCCTAGAAGGGTTTGGGTTGGAAAGGTTATTCCTGCTTTCCTGTGGTACAGATAGAATCCTAGAATGGTTTGGGATGAAAAGGACCTTAAAGTTCATCCAGTTCCAGCCCTCCTTGCCATAGGCTTGGACACCTTCTGAGAACAACCACTACCTGAGGTTGTTCCAGGCCCCATCCAACCTGGCCTTGAACTTTTCCAAGGATGGAGCAGCCACAGCTTCTCTGGGCAACCTGTGCCAGGGCCTCACCCACTCACGGGGAAGAATTTCTTTCTCATATCTGACCTAAATTTCCCCTCTTTCAGTCTGAGGTCTGACCACAGTTAATAAATGCTCAATGTGTTAAAGCTTCTGTTCTGTACCACGTTCAGAAAGATTTATCTGTGATCAGTGAGGGTTTGTGCTTCATCTGCTTTTCTCAGCAGGGTTGGCTGGTGTTGACTCATGGTGTGGAAGGGCTTAGTAGGGTATTCTACTATAGAGAGAAATACTCTAGTAAGGTCAGGAGAGTGAAAGAACTGGAAGCAATTCTCACACAATGCTGTTTGAAATCTGTTCTGTGGCTCCAGTGGTTTGAGGGTCCTGTTGAGAGAGGGTAGGATAGAGTAAGATCAGAAATCTGATGTTCCTAGAAGTTTGTTATACAAGGAGGAGAATGTGAGCAATAAACTCTTGCAGGATCTTGGTACTGTTGATACTCATTGACCAAGTTTCTCAGCAGCTGTGCTCATTTTTGGTAAGAAAATTCTTTGTTGGAAAATTGATTAAATTATCTTTACTGAAACTGTGAGCAGAAAAAATGATGAGTGATGAAGGCCAAATGTGATAGGTCACTGCTGGAAAAAAAAAAGAAGCAATAGGCAATGCAAATTAATACATGGTTTGTTAGAATGGAAAACAACACACAGTGCCATTGCAGAAGTGATTG